CTGCCACAGCCACTGCTGCTCTTTTCCCTCTTTAAAACGTTCGGTTGAAAGAAGGGATCTTCGATCCCATCCCATTCCATACCATACTATACCATCCCATCTAAAGATGATCCTCGGACCTGCCTGCGCACATGTGTTTTTCTGTATCTGTGTGTATTGTGCACGGCCTGTGTGTGTGTGTCTGTATCTGTGAGTTGTCTTGTCATGGGATCGATCTTGATCTCAGCCTGTCTGCAGCAGGTTGATACTTTTAGCATTGGACCCGGCGCAGAATCCGAGTTTAGCGTGGCATGGGGCAACGAACCAGCCCAGAAGAGATCCACTGAACCGTAATTGTTTGTGGGTATTTATGGAAAAGGATCTTGAACTGGTCTTTTGGTGCAACAGGCGAGGGAGGGCACTGAGACACAGAGAAAGGGAGTGTTCAATTATGATCCAATGATCGTCACAGATCGAAATTATCGATTGTTTTGCAAGTTAGGATATCTATCATGGGGGGTATACACTCTCCTAGAGATTCTCTTGGTGTGTAACACTTCTAAAATCTTTGAAACCCATTCTGGTAACAACTACTAATTTTCTTTTAATCCTCTGATAGCCCTCCAGGTAAAGGTTTCAACAGGAAAATCCCAATTATGTATCTGGTTAGATGCCCCCTTGAAAATAGTAGCAGAGTGGTAGACCCATATCTTTTTTATTGATACCTAAATCGGTTTCGAATTCTTGGCCCAAAACATTTCACACATTCTCGATTACAGAATTAAAGAAAGAATCTAGCTGCCATTAAATGATCGACCCAAATGCAATCAAAGGGCATGGAATAGAAGCTCATTTGCGGCACCGGAAGCTGTAAAGGAACAGCAGTAATTTCGATAGAGTTCCCACAAGGGTTGTGTGTGGAAGTGGCCCAAACCGAGGCTAGTAGCTAGCTAACTTGGCTATGAAGAGGTAGAAGAAAACCAATTCAAATTCTGTTGGCCACAACAAGTTTGTAGAGCCGCCGCCGCCACAATCCTGAATCGAGGCGAGATCGCTCGGTAGCCAAACCAGTTTTTTTTCCTAGATTCATTCAAGAAAACAGGCAACACACCAACCAACCCAAACTATCGCGATCGCGCGAGAAAGGGTTTACATACAGGCAGAGAAACCGGGATTTAATATGGTATTTGACCAGATTTATAGTCCCAATTGTATGAACTTGATTTCTTTCAGTGCATTCGGTGGAAAATGAGGCAGGGGCACAAAAAAATAATACTTGAACTACTGTTTTCAACACTTCACTTCACTCACCGGTGCGGGGCAATAAAATAGCGCCCCTCTGGAACCGCAGGTGGGGACTGAGGACTGGGGGCTGGTTGCTTGACTTTTGTGATTTGGGTCTTTTTGTTCTTGCTCGTGCGTTGGGTTTTATTAGGGTATCCAAATTAATTACAGCTTCAAATTAGGAGCACAATCTTGATCGGGATACCTCCGACTCCGACTAGGCCTCTCTCTTGCTTGCCTCTGGGTCGATCTTTAGAGCCCTTGGGATCAGCAGGTTGATTAGGGCCGTAAACGCGAATATCGGGGTATTGCCAGAGAGAGAGACAGATTACGTGCCGGAGACAAAGGAAGAAGAGGAGTCGGTTTAGGCCGGCTTATAAGACGCGAAAGGCGATACGAAACAAGAACCGAAGAAAGGAAGGACCGTCCGACACACACACACACACACACACACACGCTCGCGTCTTTTTTGGGCAGATTTCTGTGGTTTTCTGATGGATTTTTGGGTAAATATTCCTGGTTCTGGTTCTCTTAAGATTTAGTTTTAAACAAACTTGCACTTTTTAGCGAATTCTTCGGGTTGCGCGCGCACTGTGGAAAAGTGTTGCATGAGAGAGCGATGCTCGATTATCTCTGCGGTTTCTATTGCACTCACACAATCACACTGGCACACGATTTTTGATTTTTGGCTTGGGGCTGGACGCCAAGTATCTTTATATTTGCATATATTTGTATTTATTTAATAATTAATTTCATTGTTGTTTCATTCAAATGGTGGTTTTTCGACCGTTATATGCCGCGCTATCACCTCACTCGCTCGCTGCTAAGGTTACTCTTTCCGTTTCCGCAGAGCCGTCCGAACGCGATGAGTGAAAAAAACGAGTGATCGAATACAAACCCTCCGACACTCAGAGCCCGAAATCCATTCGGGCCTGGTCGGCTAGTGAGAGTCGAATCACTGCGAGAGAGTTCATTACGGAATGGATTACCAGTAATGGATAGGTATATATTATTTATTATTTTATTTTGGGATTTAATATAGTAGTAATATAAGAGTTTTAAGTAAAAATGAATTAAAATTAAAAAATATAAATTATTTGTTCTACCAAGTCATTTTCCATCTTTTTTTTTGTATTTCACAGATATTTTCCAGCGTGTCCATTACAAGTAATGCATTCCCCACTCAGTGAGAGAGTAGGGAACTGCCATGAAACTCATTAATAAAATAATGTATAAAAAATACCATTAATTTAATCTTTTTTTTTGTTAAAGTACAAAAGAACAAGTCATATTTTAATGCAACAATAATATTTATGGAAAGAGCTGGTGACAAAACTCTTAGGAATCACTGTTATCAGTAAAGACTGATAACACCTAATGGATATGTCTAATAATGAAATAGAAAGGTTGTTTAGATTAAATATTCTTTGTTTTTAATTTTCATAAAAACCTAAAATTTTTGTTATTTACAAAACAGAGAGCAATCGTTGCGTGGGGGCTAGAGGAGCACTGATTTTCCCCACTCGCATTGAGCAAAAAAGAAAATCAGAACTACATATTTTAAGCAGAAAAAACAAAGTGTCGCGGGCGACAAAAAATAGCAACAAACTAAAAAAAAAAATCTGCTGGCTCAGAACTGTGTGTAAGTGCGAATACGAGTGTGCGAGTGTGTGTGGGTGTGCATGGGGCGATCACCAAAAACAAAAACAGGTTTATATGTGCCGGGCAGTATAGGGGGGCATAGGGGGTGCTGTGCTGGTGTTTTCATATTCTGGCAACGCATTTCGCATAAATTACACACAGGCGAAGCATAAGTCCATGCAGGGGCGGCAGCCACAAAACCAGCTGCACCCAGAAAAAAAGGGCAATAAGATCCCAGATTCCCAGTCCCTATCCCGTATTCCCGATTTTCCTGCCGAAGGGAGCCAGCCTTGCATAACGAAACACGTGCAACAGCACCACGGTTGACTGGCAGTGAGATTGTCAACCTCGGTGGAAAGGTATCACACGAGAAGGGGCAACAAGTGCTCCGGAGAGAAACCCACCCGAGAGCGCTTGCAGCAACTGCATTTTTACAACTCGTGTAGGTGAGCCGGATTTTTATGAATGAACGCGCTGGTGTGTGTGTGCGAGAACTGGAAAATTACAGCAGTGGGGAAAAGCGCCAAGGCACACATGTCCAGCACGACAACTCAAGTGGCTAGCAGCTGATGGCCAAAAATATATATATTCACATTAATGTGAAATACCTATAGTAATGAGAAAAATTTAGTCCCGGCTTGGAGGAAAATTATTAAAGAATCGATAAAACATTTCTTAGGGTACTGGAAAACTGGAAAATATAAAACATCGCTCTGGGGCATATAAGCCAAATGTTGATAGGAAAAATATCAAATAATTCTATTAGATTTTTAGATAATCTATTCACAAATCGTTTAAGGTATTCCTCTTAAGGATCGGCCGAAAATTGAAAAAGATATAGGCTTTGCTGTGGGCCATATAAGCTGTTCTCCTACACTTCCCAATTTTCAAGGGAGTTCATGGGGAAAATTGACAAAAAATCGAATTTAAAATTTGTTTTCAGGTTTTAATGCAGATTTATAGAGAATCGATTCACAAATCGTTTAAGGTATTCCTCTCAAGGATCGGCCAAAAATTGAAAAAGATATAGGCTTCGCTGTGGGCCATATAAGCTGTTCTCCTACACTTCCCGATTTTTAAGAGAGTTCATGGGGAAAATTGACAAAAAATCGAATTTAAAAGTTGATTTGAGGTTTTAATGCAGATTTATAGAGAATCGATTCACAAATCGTTTAAGGTATTCCTCTCGAGGATCGGCCAAAAATTGAAAAAGATATAGGCTTCGCTGTGGGCCATATAAGCTGTTCTCCTACACTTCCCGATTTTTAAGGGAGTTCATGGGGAAAATTGACAAAAAATCGAATTTAAAATTTGATTTGAGGTTTTAATGCAGATTTATAGAGAATCGATTCACAAATCGTTTAAGGTATTCCTCTCAAGGATCGGCCAAAAACTGAAAAAGATATAGGATTCGCTGTGGGCCATATAAGCTGTTCTCCTACACTTCCCGATTTTTAAGGGAGTTCATGGAGAAAATTGACAAAAAATCGAATTTAAAATTTGATTTGAGGTTTTAATGCAGATTTATAGAGAATTGATTCACAAATCGTTTAAGGTATTCCTCTCAAGGATCGGCCAAAAACTGAAAAAGATATAGGCTTCGCTGTGGGCCATATAAGCTGTTCTCCTACACTTCCCGATTTTTAAGGGAGTTCCTGGGGAAAATTGACAAAAAATAGATTTTAAAATTTGATATCAGGTTTTAATGCAGATTTATAGAGAATCGATTCACAAATCGTTTAAGGTATTCCTCTCAAGGATCGGCCAAAAACTGAAAAAGATATAGGCTTCGCTGTGGGCCATACATGCCATTCTCTAGATTTTCTATAGTACCCAATTTTTAAAGTTTTCCGTTTAGAAAAATAATGTTTTCCCTAAAAGCATATAACAGTTCTTTTATAAAGTACTAGTTTTTATGAATTTTTGGACTCGGTTCAAAAAATAATAGTTTTGGCGGCAATAATCGATTACTGTAGGCAACCAACAGAAGTTTATACATCTGGCAGCGCCACTTCAAACAGTGTTGGAAGTCGAGTTAAGGTTCAAATTGCAGTGTTGGTCAACAGAAATACAGATTGTGCTTTTGGTCACACTTTAAAAAACGCGCGCAATTGTTAATAACATTATTTTATTTATATTTACAAAATATCACGAACATGGCAGAGTCCGGCAAAGCCAAGGTTCTGCAAAACACAGGGAAGTTTGTAAGCGAAAACCGAACCGAAGGGTAAGTAGTACAAATAGTTAAATAAACTGAATTTAAATGGTTTTTGAAAACTTCCTAGTGACGATTTTTACAATGAGGCTGGGTACCGACAATCTCGGGAGAATGACAAGATCGACTCCAAATATGGCTTCGATAGGGTCAAGGACAGTCAGGAGAGGACTGGCTACCTTATCAATATGCATTCGGTAAGTGGAAAGACCTATGAAAACATTTAAAGCTGACCTATTCCTCCCCAGAATGAAGTGCTGGATGAGGACCGAAGACTCATCGCTGCTCTGGATTTGTTTTTTATCCAAATGGATGGTTCTCGCTTCAAATGCACGGTGACCTACCAACCATACTTGCTGATACGTCCAGAGGATAACATGCACCTGGAAGTGGCACGATTTCTTGGGCGGAAGTACTCGGGTCAGATCTCTAGCCTGGAACACATCACCAAAGAGGATTTGGATCTGCCCAATCATTTGTCTGGCCTGCAGCAGCAGTACCTAAAACTGTCCTTTCTAAATCAAACAGCCATGACCAAGGTGAGACGGGAACTGATGGCCGCGGTAAGGCGCAACCAGGAGCGGCAGAAATCCAACACCTACTACATGCAGATGTTGGCAACATCGCTGGCCCAATCCTCGGCTGGTTCCGAGGACGCTTCGGTGGCCAAGAAGCAGCAGGACTACATGGACTGTATAGTGGATATACGGGAGCATGATGTACCCTACCATGTGCGAGTCTCCATAGATCTTCGCATTTTCTGCGGGCAGTGGTACAATATCCGTTGCCGGAGTGGCGTGGAGATGCCGACCATCACCAGTAGGCCAGACATCCTGGAGAGACCTGAGCCTGTGGTCCTGGCCTTTGATATTGAAACAACAAAGTTGCCTCTGAAGTTCCCGGATGCCCAGACGGATCAGATTATGATGATTTCCTATATGATTGACGGCCAGGGATACTTGATAACCAATCGAGAGATCATCTCCTCGGATGTAGACGACTTCGAGTACACCCCCAAGCCGGAATTCGAGGGAAACTTTATAGTCTACAACGAGGAGAACGAGATGCACCTGCTCCAGAAGTTCTTTGATCATATCATGGAGGTGCGTCCTCACATTGTTGTGACCTACAACGGAGACTTCTTCGACTGGCCTTTCGTGGAGACCAGAGCGGCTGTCTATGACCTAGACATGAAGCAGGAGATTGGCTTCTCCAAGGTGAGGGATGGCAACTACCTCAGTCGACCCTCCATTCACATGGATTGCCTCTGCTGGGTAAAGAGAGATTCCTATTTGCCTGTCGGATCGCAAGGCTTGAAGGCAGTGGCAAAGGCCAAACTGAGATACGATCCCGTGGAGCTCGATCCTGAGGACATGTGCCGCATGGCCGTGGAACAGCCCCAAGTTTTGGCCAATTACTCCGTCTCAGATGCAGTGGCTACTTACTATCTTTACATGAAATATGTGCATCCTTTTATCTTCGCCCTGAACACGATTATCCCAATGGAACCGGATGAGATTTTGAGGAAGGGCTCTGGTACTCTATGCGAGACTCTTCTAATGGTGGAGGCCTATCACGCCCATATCGTCTACCCCAACAAGCACCAACAGGAACTGAACAAGCTGTCCAGCGAGGGGCATGTCCTGGATTCAGAAACCTATGTGGGAGGTCACGTAGAGGCCCTGGAATCTGGTGTATTTCGTGCGGACATTCCCTGCCGTTTCAGGCTGGATCCTGCCATGGTCAAGCAACTCCAGGAGCATTTGGACGCCGTCCTGCGCCATGCCATCGAGGTGGAGGAGGGCATTCCCATGGATAAAGTCCTTAATCTGGATGAGGTGCGCCAAGAGATTCTGCAGGGCCTACAAGGCCTCCATGACATTCCCAATCGTCTGGAGCAGCCGGTCATCTATCACTTGGATGTGGGCGCCATGTACCCAAACATTATCCTGACCAATCGTCTGCAGCCTTCGGCCATGGTGAGCGACCTGGATTGCGCCGCCTGTGACTTCAATAAGCCCGGAGTTCGCTGCAAACGCTCCATGGACTGGCTGTGGCGCGGAGAGATGCTGCCAGCTTCACGAAACGAGTTCCAGCGCATTCAGCAGCAGCTGGAGACAGAGAAGTTTCCTCCTTTGTTCCCGGGTGGACCGCAGAGGGCTTTCCACGAGCTATCCAAGGAGGATCAGGCCGGGTATGAGAAGAAACGTCTGACGGATTACTGCCGCAAGGCCTACAAGAAAACCAAGCTTACCAAACTGGAGACCAGGACCTCGACTATATGCCAAAAGGAGAACAGCTTCTATGTGGACACTGTCCGGGCTTTTCGAGACCGTCGTTACGAGTACAAAGGACTTACCAAGGTGGCCAAAGCTTCGGTAAATGCAGCTGTGGCGTCGGGAGATGCGGCTGAGATCAAGGCGGCCAAAGGCCGGGAGGTCCTCTACGACTCCCTTCAGCTGGCCCACAAGTGCATCCTGAACTCTTTCTACGGCTATGTGATGAGGAGGGGCGCCAGGTGGCATTCCATGCCCATGGCAGGCATTGTGTGTCTCACCGGCTCCAATATCATCACCAAGGCCAGGGAGATCATCGAACGAGTGGGTCGTCCCCTGGAGCTGGACACTGACGGTATTTGGTGCATACTGCCAGGCTCCTTTCCCCAAGAGTTCACTATCCACACCAGTCACGAGAAGAAGAAAAAGATCAACATATCCTATCCGAACGCCGTGCTGAACACCATGGTGAAGGATCACTTTACCAACGACCAGTACCACGAGTTGAGGAAGGACAAGGAGGGGGATCTGCCCAAGTACGACATAAGAGACGAGAACTCCATTTTCTTTGAGGTGGATGGTCCCTACCTGGCCATGGTCCTGCCAGCCGCTAAGGAGGAGGGCAAGAAGCTGAAGAAACGCTATGCCGTTTTCAATTTTGACGGATCCCTGGCGGAACTGAAGGGTTTCGAGGTAAAGCGTCGTGGTGAGTTGCAGTTGATCAAGAACTTCCAGAGTTCCGTCTTCGAGGCTTTCCTGGCGGGCAGCACCCTGGAGGAGTGCTACGCCTCCGTAGCCAAGGTGGCCGACTACTGGCTGGACGTCCTCTACAGCCGGGGATCCAATCTGCCGGACTCGGAGCTGTTCGAGCTGATTGCGGAGAACAAGAGCATGTCGAAGAAACTGGAGGAGTATGGTGCTCAGAAGAGCACATCCATTTCCACGGCCAAGCGATTGGCAGAGTTCCTGGGCGAGCAGATGGTCAAGGATGCGGGTTTGGCGTGCAAGTACATCATCTCCAAGAAACCAGAGGGGGCTCCCGTTACGGAGAGGGCCATTCCGTTGGCTATTTTCCAGTCGGAGCCGAGCGTCCGCCGCCATCATCTTCGTCGCTGGCTTAAGGACTCGACGATGGGCGATGCGGATATACGGGATGTCCTGGACTGGAACTACTACATAGAGCGTTTGGGTGGCACCATACAGAAGATTATTACCATTCCAGCAGCTCTGCAGGGACTGGCCAATCCAGTGCCTAGAGTGCAGCACCCGGATTGGTTGCACAAGAAGATGCTGGAGAAGAATGACGTGCTGAAGCAGCGCAGGATCAACGAGATGTTCACTAGTAGGCCCAAACCGAAGCCATTGGTTTCTTCTGAGGATAAGCTGGCGGATATGGAGGATCTGGCAGGCAGGGATGGATGTGAAGACGTTGCAGGACGCCCCGTAGTCACAAAACGGAAGAGGGCGCAAGTGGATGACGGAGAGGAGGATCAAGAAAAATCACCCCAGGCAACCACTTGGCGGCAGGCTCTCGGTGCTCCCCCGCCAATCGGAGAGACCAGGAAAACCATCGTGGAGTGGGTGCGCTTCCAGAAGCGCAAGTGGCAGTGGCAGCAGGAGCAGCGCCAAAAGAGGCGTCAGGCCAATAAACGCTCCCGCAGCGATGATTCAGCCCCAGTGGCCAGAGCAACTGGCTCGGCAGCTACTCTAGGCGGCTTCCTGCGACGGGCCCAACGTACCCTGCTGGACCAACCCTGGCAGATCCTGCAGCTGGTGCCTATCGACGATCTCGGCCACTTCACCGTATGGGCTTTGATTGGAGAAGAGCTGCACAGAATAAAGCTAACGGTTCCAAGGATATTCTACGTTAACCAGAGGAGTGCCGCTCCTCCGGAGGAGGGTCAGTTGTGGCGCAAGGTGAACCGAGTTCTGCCCCGCTCCCGACCCGTTTTCAATCTCTACAGGTACAGTGTCCCGGAGCAGCTCTTCAGAGACAACTCGCTGGGCATGTTGGCGGACTTGGCCACGCCGGATATCGAGGGCATCTACGAGACCCAAATGACCTTGGAGTTCCGTGCGCTGATGGACATGGGCTGTATTTGCGGAGTGCAGCGCGAGGAGGCACGGCGCCTGGCCCAGCTAGCCACCAAGGATCTGGAGAGCTTCACCATCGAACAGCTGGAGCAGCGACCTCAAACGCAGGTTAAGTACCTGGCGAGTGCGAACCACAGGATGCGGAAGATCTATCTGTACCAGCACAACACGCCGACGGCCAAGAAGGAGATCTGGTCCCTGATCCTGATGCCCAGCAAGAAGGGTTACATATTCGCGTTGGACACAGTGCGAGCCAACCAAATGCCCAACATGCGGCAACTGTACGCGGCGGAGCGTCTGGCTTTGATTAGAAACCTGACCACCGCAGAGCAAGACAAGATTCCCGTAGAGGATTACACTTTTGAGGTGCTCATCGAGGTGGATGTCAAGCAGATCTACAGGCACATCCAGCGCGCCCTCACCACCTACAAGCAGGAGCACCAGGGGCCAACGATTCTGTGCCTGCAGACAGCCCTAGAGGCGCGCAAGCTCAGCCTGGCGATGCCCATCTTGCTGGAATTCCCCCAGGCCCAGATCCACATCTCCGACGATGCCAGCTTGCTGTCGGGTCTGGATTGGCAGCGACAGGGTTCCCGGGCAGTGGTCCGGCACTTCCTCAACCTCAACAACGTGTTGGACCTGATGCTCGATCAGTGTCGCTACTTCCATGTGCCCATCGGGAACATGCCACCGGATACGGTGCTCTTTGGAGCAGACCTATTCTTTGCGCGTCTGCTGCAGCGGCACAACTTTGTGCTGTGGTGGTCGGCCAGCACCAGGCCGGATCTGGGAGGCCGGGAGGCGGATGACAGCCGCCTGCTGGCCGAGTTCGAGGAGAGCATCAGCGTGGTGCAGAACAAGGCGGGTTTCTACCCGGATGTGTGCGTGGAACTGGCGCTGGACAGCCTGGCGGTGAGTGCTCTTTTGCAGTCTACCAGGATACAAGAAATGGAGGGAGCCTCCTCGGCGATTACCTTCGATGTGATGCCGCAGGTATCGCTGGAGGAAATGATCGGAACAGTACCCGCCGCCACGCTTCCCAGCTACGATGAAACGGCTCTCTGCTCGGCGGCCTTCCGGGTGATGCGTTCGATGGTCAATGGGTGGCTGCGTGAGGTCTCCATCAACCGGAACATCTTCTCCGACTTCCAGATTGTCCACTTCTACCGGTGGGTGCGCTCCAGCAACGCCCTACTGTATGATCCTGCCCTCCGGCGATCCCTCAACAATCTGATGAGAAAGATGTTCCTCCGCATCATCGCCGAGTTCAAGAGACTGGGCGCCACGATCGTGTATGCAGACTTCAATCGGATCATTCTGAGTTCCGGCAAGAAGTCTGTCTCCGATGCCCTGGGCTACGTGGACTACATCGTGCAGAGTTTGAGGAACAAGGAGATGTTCCACTCCATCCAGCTGAGCTTCGAGCAGTGCTGGAACTTTATGCTCTGGATGGACCAGGCGAATTTCTCGGGTATCCGTGGTAAACTGCCTAAGGGAATTGATGAGACTGTCTCCTCCATTGTATCCACCACGATGCGACGAGAGCCAGAAGTAAATGAGGTCGAGGATGGGACCGAAGATGAAGATGAAGATGCAGAGAACCGAGATCCCGTGGAAATCGTTGAGACCGAGGCAGATCAAGAGGAGGAACTGTCTCTAGAGCTCAATTGGACCATCGGGGAGCATTTGCCGGATGAAAATGAGTGCCGCGAGAAGTTCGAATCTCTCCTGACCCTTTTCATGCAGTCGCTGGCCGAAAAGAAAACTACTGAGCAAGCCATTCGGGATATTTCTCACTCCGCCTTCGACTTTATCCTTAAGCTGCATAAGAACTATGGAAAAGGAAAGCCCAGTCCCGGCCTGGAACTGATCCGCACCTTGATCAAGGTGCTCAGTGTGGACAAAACTCTGGCGGAGCAAATCAACGAGCTGCGAAGGAACATGCTGAGGCTGGTCGGGATCGGCGAGTTCTCGGACATGGCCGAATGGACGGATCCCTGCGACAGCCACGTCATTAACGAGGTGATCTGCAAGGCCTGCAACCATTGCCGGGACTTGGACCTCTGCAAGGACAAGCACCGCGCCATGAAGGATGGAGTGTAAGTATAGCAGAACACGTCTCAGAATTTATTCTTACGATATATTTTGTGCAGACCCGTTTGGCTTTGTGCCCAGTGCTATGTGGCTTACGACAACGAGGAGATAGAAATGCGCATGCTAGACGCCCTTCAGCGCAAGATGATGTCCTATGTCCTGCAGGATCTGCGCTGTGCCCGCTGCAGCGAAATCAAGCGCGAAAATCTGGCCGAGTTCTGCACCTGTGCGGGCAACTTTGTGCCTCTCATCAGCGGCAAGGACATTCAAACGCTGCTAAGCACCTTCAGCAAGGTGGCAGTGAACCACAAGATGCAGTTGCTCCAGCAGACAGTCCAACAGGCACTGAACACGCCGCGTTAACTGATTTTTGATGTGTTTTAGATTATGGAATTTGTATCATTAGCATATGAATATATTTTAGGCGTTAAACGAATTGCATTTTCTCATTTTCCACCCCGTTACAGACACTTTACATTGGTTTACAGACGTGGGGCTATTGGTTTTCCGATTTTATTGGATGTTTGACGTACCAAGATATCACCTCTTCCGTGTACTTGCAGACGAAATCAGCAGCAAAATTTAAAGCAATTAAACTAAGTCATACGCGGAGTTAGCCCTTTAGTTGGCAGGCTGTGTAATGGGGTCGATCTTGACCTCGGGGAACTTGAAATCGGGGAACTTGGTGAAGTCGGTCTTGCCGTCGCTGCCGAACTGCTTGGCCACACGATCCAGTTCATTCTTGATCTCACGCTCGATTTCGGGGTTGGGGTCCACCAGTTTGCCGCCGCTGTAAAGAAGACATGAATGGCTTGTTATGATTATCCTTGACCACAAAGCCTACCTGCTCTTCTGCTTGTACTCGCGCACTTTGTCCAGGAACAGCTGCTGGATGGGATCAGAGGCCTTGTTCAGGGCTGGGGCCACGATGGCGATGTTGCGGCGGGCTTCGGTGCGCAGGACACGCACGCCATTCAGCAGGGATTGCGACAGCATCTGGAGAGGATTAGAGTCAATTAGAATCGCGGGTAATATGTAACCTTAAAAAGGTTATGTAATATGATTTGTTGTTTAAGAGGTGTCCAGCCGGTTTCAAAAACTGTCGTCCCGTCAGGATCTCAGTTTCAGTTTTCGTTTTCCTTTCCAACTCCTTAAACTTTATTTATAAAGCTATTTTTACCTTAATTTCCTTCGCAAATGCAAACTTTCGCACGGAAAACAGTCAATTGTCAGTTCACAATGGCAGCTGAGATTAGTGATGGCACATGACCGATTATTTTAAAGTTGTCACGACATGAAGAGGATTATGGTGGAAAAATTTGAATTTTTTTAAATAATTCCATCCTATTTTAATATTTATTTAAGTCTGAAAGAAGCTTTAATGTATTAAGATTCAAAAATTAAATTAAATAACAGAAATTTTGAAAGATAACCGCGTTTAAAAAAATACCAACTACCAGTGGGACCATCAGGTGGTTAGCGCCTGGTCACACTACTTGCTCCATGTTCCACGTCAAGCGCCGGAAAAAAACACGACTTGCATTTATTTAATTTCTCTGGCGACTTGGCGAATATATTGCATCTAAGATGGTGAGCCTGCTGCAGGAAATCGACACCGAGCACGAGGACATGGTCCACCATGCGGCGCTGGACTTCTATGGGCTGCTGCTGGCCACTTGCTCCTCTGATGGCAGCGTCCGCATCTTCCACTCCCGTAAGAACAACAAGGCGCTGGCTGAGCTCAAGGGCCACCAGGGTCCCGTGTGGCAGGTGGCATGGGCGCACCCAAAGTTCGGCAACATCCTAGCTTCTTGCTCCTACGATCGCAAGGTGATCGTCTGGAAATCGACGACGCCCCGGGACTGGAGTAAACTGTAAGTATTACGGGTCACACACAAACACAGACCCCCAAGCACACCGATAAACAATAGATGCATTGAGAGAGTCGACGGATGGATACCTCTTGTTTGGAAATAAAATATTGTGTAAACAATGTTATGGTTAAGGTTTTAAACAATTTAGAAACTAACATCCATCTATAATAATTAAATATTTAGTGAAGGAGGTTAGATGGTATTATAGATTAGAATACCAATATTGCCTCTATCAGTACTCGGTACCCACATAATACATTAAAAAGACCTCATGTTGTACATATGTTTTTGGAGCTGTTATCATTTGCTTGGCTGCCACATCTAATCTTTGTTTTTGTCTTCCTGCCGCATTTCAGTTATGAATACAGCAACCACGACTCTTCAGTGAACTCTGTGGATTTCGCCCCCTCCGAATATGGATTAGTTCTGGCCTGCGCCAGCTCCGATGGCTCGATTTCGGTGCTAACCTGCAACACGGAATATGGCTCTTGGGATGCCAAGAAGATACCAAATGCTCACACTATTGGTGTGAATGCTATTTCATGGTGCCCGGCTCAAGCGCCGGATCCAGCTTTCGACCAGCGCGTCACATCCCGATCGACGGCCGTTAAGCGTTTAGTAAGCGGCGGATGCGATAATCTCGTTAAGGTCTGGCGTGAAGACAACGATCGCTGGGTGGAGGAACAGCGTCTTGAGGCGCATTCTGATTGGGTGCGCGACGTGGCCTGGGCGCCGTCGATCGGCTTGCCCCGCTCGCAGATTGCCACGGCCTCCCAGGATCGGCACGTGATCGTTTGGACCAGCAACGCAGATCTGACACAGTGGTCTTACAGTGTCCTGCACACATTCGACGACGCCGTGTGGAGCATTTCCTGGTCCACCACCGGAAATATTCTGGCCGTTACCGGTGGCGATAACAATGTCACACTGTGGAAGGAGAATACCGAGGGCCAGTGGATCAGAATCAACTACGAATCGGGCACTGCCATCCAGTCGAAGCAGCCGTCGTCGCACCTTCCCCATTCCCAGCACTCCCAGCAGCAGCAGCCGCCAGCACAACAGCAGCTTCAGCAGGCGCCCTCGCATCCGGGTCCGTCCTCCGACTCGGAGCACAGCTCCAACCTGTCCAACTCTAACCTGTCGAACTCGCAGCTATCAAACTGAACTGAAACCCCTTCAATTATCGTGCTAGTGTTGTGGTCATATGTTATCCTTCGCAAATACAATATATAATATACGCATTAAAGTTCCCCCTCTGAAATGATGTCCTTTTTGTGAAAGATGCGATTGAGATGATTGGATTTTAGTAAATAAATTACCGCGAAACTTTATTGAAAATAAGAAAGTAGAGGACGTGTAGTTTGTGTGGGAAAGTTAAGTTCCTTGGAAAACGGCTCACGCTTAGTTCTCGTAATTAGCATTAAAAGGAAGAGAAAGCGAGTGTTGACCTAATGTACCACGTTTTGTAATTAATACGTCTGCTCGAAGGAAAAGTAATCACGGACTCTATGCGAAATTGCATAGAATTAACCTCCTTTTATGATACATTGACTTGGGCCAGCGATTAAGTCGCTCCGATAATTAGTCATAGATTAGGCTACGCCTGGCTTCGCCACACTAGTACGGGTGAGAAAATTGAAAATCCATGAAGCCGGCCCTAGGCTCTAGGTACCTCAGGCCCTCTATCCGTTTGTTGATACTTTGGTAAGTAATTTTTCATTCATGAGAACGGAAGTTACTCATTTCGTGTAAATTCGGGACACGTGCCGCGATAAAACACGAAACAAACAAACATTTTGCTAGAACCAATAACTTGGATGGGTGAACGGTGGAGGAGCTATCGTGGAGGTTCTTTCGTGTGGAGTTTCTCGCCTGGGTCTCTTATCTTGTTTCACACGGTTTTCGAAAGTTTAACTCTTTTGATCTGACTTTGGAACAACTTCCTCTTCAACTGAAGTATTTATGGCCGAGATAAGGTCTTGTTTTATCCTCATAATACTTTAAAGCCCGGTTTAAAACCATAACTGATTCATACACTATTAAAGAGTTACCATATTGCCCATTGACCAGGAGGTGGAGCCCCGATGAGTGAGTAATCGGCAAAGGTCAAGCATTTACATTGAGATTGCCCTAATGACAAACAATTGAAGATTGCATGTCCCGGCGAAGGAAATTGTGGTGCGACCAACGCCACAGTAAATCCGAATCCGAAATAATTGCATTTTAATAATACAAGTGGAACGGCGATTAAATTCAGGCACTTTTTAATTTGAATTCCAATTAAGGAATGTCACTCAGGATCAAAACTCCAGGACAAGTTCACTGCTCTTGACGGCGTGGCGGAGCCCCCCACTAAAAACCTTATTAGAATAACGTAGCAAGGTGCATTGGAATACCTATGGTCTTAAGCTGATTTTTTGCAAGTACGTCTGGGGCGGGTGAGTTAAGGGGCCTTAGCCACCACATAGTACTCCAACTAATTGTCGACCACTTCGGCTGCGGTGCAAATATTTGGGAGAAGCCAACAAAAAACGATTTGGGGCCGAAGGAGCTACCGAACATTTTGATGATGTCATGGATTGCGTGCAACCAGGCCGTCATCAATGGTCTCGGACTAAGGACTCTCCTCGGACCAAGTCCGGTTTGCATGGGCAATTTTGTTGCAGAAGTTTTTGGCGCTTCTGGGCTACCATAAGAAATGGTCGTAACCCATAATCAGTGCGGTTTAATCGTGTTCTGACCGCGGGGAGCCCAACTCCAGGCCCCTCTTCTCCCAAATCCCTCCACAGACCACATAGCTCAGCTAGCCACTGGCCCTGCTGCATTGATTTTTTTGTGCGGGTACTTTCATTCCTGGGTTTTCGGGTTTAATGGTCACCTCTCTGGAACTTTCACTTTTTTGATGTGCGTAAATTTGCATATTTGTCGCGGGGGTAAAGGGTGCAGGGTGACCACAGACTGTTCCATTTTGCCTTTCCTGGCCAAAACCCCTTGGTATTGTGGATGAATAATGAACTATGTCCGACAATGATGACGCCGCCACTAATTAGTTTTTTCGTCTGTAGATAGGTCATTGAAATCGTCACATATTTTTTGTTTAAATCACTTTTCTGGAGTGTTTTTTTTTAGCCACAGAGTACAGAATATTCTAAAGCTTTCTTAGCTTATTTAGTAGCACAGATATAAGTTATGGAGTTGTAAGTATAAGCGCTTTATAGATCATTTGATTTATTTTCAGGCCCCTAATAAATCCATCCATATTAAAAAGAATCTCGAAACTATAGTTATTCTAATATATTCCATCTAATATTCCCAAGAACTTGTGAAAATTAAGCTATTTTTATAGTCACCCCCTAAGGATCAGGATTCCTAGACCTCAAGCAATGACGTCTTGACCTGGCCACGCATGAGTTATTCGAATATGTTCGTGAGCTTTAGCATTTCGCAGTTATTTTTATGTTTTACTTTATTTTTTTTTAGCCTGGGCCAACATGACATGCTAAGGAACCTGTTCTTGGGGGCAGGCCACACTGCGTATACGTAACGGAATGGCCAAAAGTCCCCCAAAAGTGTCGCACCTTGCTAAAATCAAGGTGTACATTAACAAATGAACTTGAAATAATTCACAAAAGAGCTTAGAACGCTGTACGAATATTTAGCATGCATTTGGCTGCATTTAGGTGGCAATGGAGTGGCCGCAATGGCCGAGAATGATAAATTGGGAAAGTCATGGAAAGGTTATTTGGTCAAGTGTTGGCCAAGAGACAAGGCTAACAAGGAGCAGTGGCTATCGAAGCTCTCGCCTCGCTTTGCATGCAACTTTCGGTGGCAGTAAGACGACCTGCCCTCAGGCCCTCGTCCAGCCCTAGACCCACCTCTGACTTGGCTATGTGTGCATGTCCTGGAACGCACGAAAACAAACTTGCATGCCCGACTTGGTGAAAGTGTGTGTCTATATGCAATTAGACCTGGTCATAATATGGAATTAAAGGACTTAAATTGGCATTCTTTGAAGCCGCTAATGCGGTCCTGGCGTTGTAATCAGCAAAACTATGATGACCTCTAGGCATGAGTACACCCCGAATGAGATTTCGTGAGAAAATTATATATCGCTGGTTGCTAGACGGAGAAACTCCAAAGTCGCACTAATTAATCATCAGTTAAGACCAAAAACATGACGCCCAGATTGTTGAAAGGGAATTAGTTCTTTAATTACAATCGCCTCATGGGCGGCAAGGGCCTTTCCTTTTCGAAGGCGGCACCTCCAATTCGTTGCAGTCTCTGATTTAGTCAAAAGATTCCGTGATTTTTCTATATAATTTTCCTGCTTGTTTTCCGTTTTGGCTTTTTTTTGTTTTTGTTGCTGCGGCTGTTGGGCCAGGAACATTTATCAATAACGTCAAGAAATAAATATCCAAAATAAATTTAGGACTTTTGCCGCATGGTAAATTGAATCGAGTGGCCCGGCCATTTTTTCTGAATAATAATTAAAGAAAATTTATTTATACATTTAAATATGTAGGTACCTTTTTGTACTCGAGTACTCCAACTATACATATAAAGCTATATTTCCCATTTCGCCGGACGCGTTTATGGACGATTTGCGTAGATGGTACGATGGGTCGTATCCTTAAAATAAGGATAAATGGAATAAAGTTGGTATTTGTGATGATACTTTAATGATATATATCAAGCAAAATTATGTGATTGTGTAAATATAATAAAGCTAATTTTGTGGATGTTTATCTATATATTTTAAGGAGAAATTGTGTTTATTTTATCGCAGACTTTCCACATAAATTGGATTTATTCTATGACATTTTTTCTATTCTTTTCATTGTGTTTTTATTACACTGTAATAAATAAAATGGAATGATATGAATTTGAAAAATTAAACCTAAATCTGATTGTGTTGACCCCATCGTTCATGGACCTAAAATGAAATGTATTCTAATTACTTGGATCCCCCTTGGATTTTCGTGAATATTTTCTGGAAAGCGTTTCCGTTCGCCGTGCGTGTAACAAATGAATTTGCAACAAAAGCAATGTGGCACGTTTAGTTAAGGAATAATTGTTTAGGTACGTAGAAGTAGAAGGTTTAAGATTAGGAAAGAACCAGTGAAAAAAATGGGAATATTATTTAGAGATATAGGGTCCAAGCTTTCAGTGCATTTGCTAGTTCATTTTCCAGAACGAGTATTCTTATCAGAGTTACTGTTTCTGGGAATGGATTTGACTTGGAGGCAAGAACAGGAAGTCTCCAGTATCTACATGAATGCGGCAATGAATGCTAAATATTATCAGCTATGTGGGCGTAGACTTGGGCTCTGAGACGGTTATTATAAAACTCAAATGCCATTGCATCATGAATGTCAAGACTAAAGAAATAAAATGCTAAACTTAAAATGAGTTATTCATTTTTTATAGTGAATTTCTTCTAGGAGTCCCAAACCCCAACATTCAGCTAATTGTTTATGCTGTCGCAGCGATTACAAAAATCGTTTATAAGGCGATCGAGGTGGCTGATAAGGAACAGCACCACCTGAACACTAGAGCCTGACATTTTCCACAATCGGAAACAAAGAGTTGGGGCTCGGCCAAAAATAAACGAAAGGAATCCGTGTTGGGGAAAAGTGGGGAGAATTTTCATGTCGAGGAAACCAAAATTGACCACAAAGGGTTTTGTTTCTCGGTGTAAATTATTGACTTTGAATAGTAACCGGCTCAGACAACGGCAGACGTGGCCGAAAGTTTCGCATCCGTTTGCTGGCCTGTTCGATATTCCCCGAAAATGGTGATTTATAAAATGGGGCCTGGGGGCGTGGCCTGCAACCTTTTTTTCTGTTTGTGTTTCGGTAGCAGGTTGCAACATTTGCGGCTCTCTGTTGCAATGTTTGAAAGCAACAAGCAACCCACTCATCTTGGGTAATTCAAACGTAATTAGGGCCATGCACCGCCCAACTTGAAAAATAATCATAAAAGCCAGCCGCGAGTGAGAGAACTCGGCTAAGAATAATGGCCAAAATAACTATTTGCCTTTGAGTTGGCTCTTTTTGTTGTTGTTTTTGGTGCGTGCTAATGTTACACTTTATTGTGGTTGCTTCTTGTTGTTGTTCGGCTTAAACTCTGCGGGCCCCCAAAAAGTAGGCTATGCAATGGCTCTAATGCCTTCGTCATTATTATGGCTCGCACACACACACAACACCGTAATACGTACACCCATGGGCCAGGACGACACCGACGACGAGGACGATGAGGACGAGACGAGGTCGCTACAATAAAAAAGCCAACAAAAAACAGAAACTGCACGAAGGTAAAGCCAAACACTAGGCTAAAATAACTAAAACGACTAAGGGCGTACAAAAATCCATCTTCGTTAACAAAACTCGCTCACGAAACAACGAAGCAGTTACAAGTGCGTTCGAGCTTGCCTGACACATACACTTGCACAAATTATATGGACCTGGCAAGTTCAAAATCTGCCCAGAGATTTAGGCCCACCGCCTCCAGCCCCTGGCAGTCGCCGCTCCGGCCGTAGCACATTAATGTAGTGGAATACCCTGCCACACGTGGAGGGATCTCTTAATTATGCATTCAGGTGTCTGTCCGTCCGGAATTGGATTTTATGGATGCCCTGGTATCCGCGAAATTATTTAGGCTAGGCTCCTAGATTTTAGTCTTGTACTTAAAAAAGATACTTCTTAAGGTTTTGCACAAAAATTCAATCAATTTGCAATACTCGTAAATAAATGAATATTCATGAATCCATATCTTGATTTGTTTTGATTGCCAAACTTTCTTTGGGGCAAAAATCGTTGACGTAGATTTGGCCAAGATGTTTTTATACAAACAAGTTTATTCAATTTATACAAATTAATTGACCAAATTAATTTCTACATAAATCAATTTCAATTTCAGCTGGGTAAATCGCTTATAATATAATAGTGTATTATTTCAAAATGCAATATAAAATCGAAACTTTTTTTAAATTAAATTAAAGATAGTTTATAAAACCAGTTAAGGTTATAAATTTACTTACATTTAAATACTAATTAATAAAACTTTTCCTAATGGATCCCTTTTTTAACGTTATTGAAATATAACATTAAAAATGATAAATGAAAATATTATAATTCAAAAAAGGGAATTAAATAATCACTATATATTTCGAAAAAACGCGAAAGGGGTTCTCTTTTTGGGCTGAGCTGCGGGACAGGAGCGGGAAGGGCGGTGAGTGTGAGTGTAGTGGCGGGCTGGATGGGGACTGGGGGACCAGTGGGTGGCGTCGGTGTGCGCGAGCGCCAAGTAGCCAGGCGAGTCAGCAGCGACGTCGCCCCAACTTAAGCTCCGTGTGCGCCGCGAATTCTTCACTTGCATTTCGAACGCGCAGGCGACTGGTTCGTGAGCTCAAGAACCTCCGGAGACCTCGAGACCGAAAGTAATCCATAGAAGACCATCTGAAAAACACATTAATATTCCCAAATACCCGTACATCCGATTTTGTTAGAGTGACGCCTTTCGTGCGGTTTCTGCTTTGCTTCAACGGGAACTCTTGTACCATACACCGGAGCGGAAACAGTTTCGGTGTGAAAATTTGCATAAAATTGGCCCGAGAAAAATTAGCAGACTTACTATAAAGCCGCTGGGCAGCTTGTTCCGAGCTTCCGAGGAAAGTGCGTGAAAAACTCGTGGTCGTCGGTGGCCTGTGATTTTATATAACAGCCGAAACTTGGGGGTGCTGCGGCTCAGACTCGACTTGAAGCTCGATTTCGATTTTTGGCACCTCCTACCGTCACTCCCATTTTAAAATGCAGCCCCTTAAGCGATTCACACAGTGCGGCAGCTTGACCATGCTATTTGGCATCTTCATTATCCTGTTCGGGGTCAGTTCCACGGCACTGACCACCTTTGGCAAGACCAACAACCAGCCGCCACCCACGCATGTTCCCATTGGTAAGTCCTAGCTTGTAAGGGGGTTGGTAATAAAAAATCAAGTCGAAGTGCTTGGCAAGGTCAAGAAAGAGGCAAAAAACTGGAAGGGTCTTAATTGCTAAAAAAGGTATAATCGTTACAGAATTAAATTCAGAAAAGAGCCAATCAAAATTAAATAAAACAAAACATGAAAGTTTTTAGAAAACTAAGGAATATCGTTTTCTATGATGAGGTTTTATATATCTATTGTATTTTTATTTCCGCAAGTATCTTTCTATTTTTTATAATTTTATTTTAGTTATTATTGTATATTTTGATTTCAAAAGTTTTAATTTAAGTTTTTATTTCCCTTTTTAGATTATGAATTGGAGAAACAATACAATTATTTTCCCTTTCCTAGTATGTCACAAACGTTTAAATATTATAAGCTCATAGTATTTATAAGAATCATTAGAGATTCGAAAGTTAATATCCAATTAATACTCACCCATTGCTAGCTAAACAAATATTAACCATTTATGTTTGCCTGATCCCATAAATCATGTCTCATTCGATTGACTTTGGAGTCACCCATAAACAAGTTGGATAGTAATTATGGCAGAGGGCCAGCAATTGAATGACACGGCCCAAACAAATCCCGGTACCAACACAAATCGAAAATTGATCAAACAAGTCACTCAAGTACAATGACAACCCACGCTCCATACAAATCAGAGACTCCGGTAGCAGGAGGAGGAGACTTTGTGGGTGGGCTGGTAATAGGATTGTGATTGGAGTTGGCAAACAAGTCTAAATGGAAACGATTATTTGTGTTAGCAGAGGGAAGGGTCAACAATCAGACAATTAGTAGGCAATTAGTTGAGACAACTGATAATATAAGTTTGTTTACCGTTAATTATGGTATTATATTTACAGTCAAAGGACGAGAGTGCTCCAATCACGATGACTGTACGGCGATAGATCGCACAAGCTGCGTCAAGGATCCCAACGACTACAGGTTCCGATGTCTCTGCGGCGACGATTCGGCTCCCTCCGCTGGCAATTGTCCCGATGTCCTTAAAGGTAATTTATAAAATAATATATAATATTTAATGTCTTTAGAGTATAACTCTTAAAGGATAGATACTTTTCTAGAATTCTTTAGCTAGGATCTGGAAATAGAACAGCCAACAAAAAACGTCAGCTAATTGCTAAGACATGCACATTACATTTATTATTTAAGAGGCTGCTGCTTTCTTGGAGGCCTTCTCTGTGATGTGCCTCAAGTGGCAGATACACAGGTGGCAGGTGGGAGGGCGAAGGTGTCCAAAAGGCGCTTCTAAATGAGAATTAAACAAAGCATCCCTCCAGATGGATGCCCGCACCAAACCTGTAGCCTCTATTTGTCAGCCTGCTTATTTATTTAGTTTTCGTGCGCAATTCACACTTGTTCTTCTTGTGCTAGGCTCCTTGGCTCCTTGGGACCTGCCATTGTTTTTAGCTCCTTACTGTATGCAGGACATTCTTTAACCCGACATGTAAGGCAATTGCGATGGCGATGGCGGAGGCTTTTGGTTTATGGCGGCGCAATGTCGATGCCGGATTTATGTTACAATGTCGTGACTGCGACTTGTGGGGGAACCGAAAACGAAAACGAGGCAGCCAAATGAGCGGCAAATGGTAATGGGAATCGCCGCAGTGCCAATTTGTGACATGCACGGAGTAGGGCCCAGAAGAAAGTGCCTTCAGTACTTCTCTAAATATGTATATACGAAGTCTTAGTTTTTTGACATTGAGTTTTTTGATTTAGAAGAAGTCTGACAGATTTCTAATAAGTTTACTAATTAAAAACTATTTCACTGTCCCCCTAGGTCTGCGTCACAAGTGCAACAGCAACAACGACTGCGAAGATGGAATGGTATGCCAGTACGAGAACAGCAACCGGACCATTGGAGTGTCAAAGTTCATGTCCAGCAAGACCAAGCTGTGTCTTTGCGACAACGACAACGGATATGTGGAGGACATTCTGCACGATATCTGCAGTGGAGGTCATATAATAAATACACCTGAACCAACTACACCCGAACAAAATGCACCTGAAAAAACAAAACTTCCAATTTTTAATTTTAAGTTTGATAGGAATTCACCAATAAATTTTAATTTTTATTTTAGAAAATAGTTATACTGAATTTTTATATTTTTTATTTATTAAATACATTTGGAATTAAATTGGTTTTAAATTTTTAACACCCCCAACAAAGGATTTTTAGTGTAAAATGTTTTTTCAATTTGCAGCCAATATGCAGGCCCTGGTCAATATCCTGATGTCCATCTGCTCCTTGCTGGCGCCCTTCGTGGTCTCCGCCCACATGCGAAAGCATTTCTAGAAGGCCACTGGACCCGATCGAAGTCGTATATTGGCGATACTCTCCCCTAGTGATCCATCAAATGTGCCTCAGTGAAACCAATAACAGAAACAGAAAATCATCGTCCCCGTCCCTCACCCAAGTTCATTTCGAAAACCAATGGAAAATGATTAAAAAATATTTGAAAATTAAGAAAGATTAGAAAAATACAGTACAGTCGCCACTAGCCTAAAGGTAGTTCTATTGAATAAGTTTCATATATACCACCGTCAATTTTATTCGCTTCTCACTAAAAGTTGCGTTATACATATATATACAATATACAAAATTATATTATCTGATAAATGTTTTCTATAGATCCCCTATCGATAGAATATTTACCTTAAATACCAAAAAACAAAAATACCGGCACCATTTTATTGTAATTTTATAAGTACATATGTGAGTCGAAGAAAATCAATTAAATATTTAATAAATATAGATAAGCAAAAATTCAGATCGCTTTAACATACCAATTACAAATGTAAAACATTTTAGTTTTTTGTATTCGAAACATCGAAAAATATAGCTTTACGAGCTCACAGCCACAACCGATTATAAACGTAATATATAATAAATTCATTTCGATACTGCTACAACTTTAAATATTCTTTCAAATCAAAAACTGTTAGGACCTTGCAAATAACATCTATCATTGACATTGTTTTCTCCGTAGTTGTTATTTATATTATTTAATAAAAACTTTAAAAAATAAATCAAATGCGTGTTTTTTAAAAAAATTTAAATGACTGAAATCAAAAACTAAGATTGTTTGCTGATGAAGTAATTAAAAATGAGATAAGAAGAGCCATTATGATGAAAATGGGATTACTATTTTTCCATATTTATATACTTCGTATTTTATTGCTTTTAGGGGCTTTACTTTCACATTAATGAAACATATAATTTTACAATGGCCCGGGTGATATCATAAGCAATCCAGTGCATTTCGAGCATATAATCACCTTCGGGAAACGCCAGCATAGTGGTCATTCTTCGATTGATGCTCTCCGTTGTAAGCTTTTCCACAACAAGATCGTGCTGTATATTGATACATTAGTACATTAAAAAATTAATAAAGGAATGAAGTTAACTACTCACATCGAAGGGACACGTATGATTCATATTGGAGATTTCCCTAAAAAAGTCAAAAAAGTAGTTGGTGATGGGATTGGCTTTTCGGTTCTTTAAAAATTTACACGCATCAACGGATATGTTGTATAAAAAAGGTCTATAGCCATTCAAGCGTTTATATAATGCAAAATTTACCTAAATTGCGGATATTATGATTCATTACATTCTTTTAAAATAAAGAAATTAACTTACCCTAACTCTTGTTATAGGAACTTTGAACAGAAGTACTTTTGTGGAAACGTATTTATAAGTTCGATTGATGGCTTTTATTTTGCAATACTCAAAATCCGTAAACTCCTTATCCAACGATGTACATTGGAAGTTGGTGAACTCCACTCGCGTTTTGATCTTAAATTTCATTAAATATGCATTTAAAAATATTTAAAATTTAGTTTTTCATGATCTTACTTCATTTATAAAAATTAAAACCAATAAAATGCAAAGATATGTTTTTGGTGGCAGATACATTTCACATCAAATTCATTTCACGGCTAAATCAGAACAAAGCCATGAGACCAGTTTGGTTTGGCTACAAATGATTTATGATTTATGTCAAATGATTTATATCTATCGGTATTTATATAAGATAATATAATAAATTGCACTTCAATTTTTGAAATAAACAATCGGTTTTTAATGATGTAGTTGTGTCTACTGTCGAAAAATATAATATATGTATAATCAGCGAACAGAGAAGCTTTCCTTAATTCCCCACTTTTGCTCCTACCGATGGCCACAGCTCTGCCAACTTCTGTTCGATCAGGAAATAAATATACTTTTCTTATTTAAAACACTGCTTAAATATCGTTTTTACATTTTTTCAAAATTTTGGATTTCCTAATTTCTCACTTTTGCTCCTTCCGATGGCAATTGCTCTGCCAACGTGTAATTGATCAGGAAATAAAGAACCATTTTTAATCAGAAAATCCAGAATATACTTTTCTTCTTGAAACATTGCTTAAATATTGATTTATAAGTTTTTGAAATAGCAAACTATGTACCGTCTTTGCTGTTGCAAAGTTTTGCTCAAATTTCATTTTTAAAATTTATGAATTTTACGAAACCAACAAAATGCAAAGAAAAGTTTTAGGTTGCAGATACATATTGCATCATATTTATTTTACGTTTAATTCAGAATAAAACGAGGGGTACAGTTTGGTTGGGCCATCACAATTAGTTATAACTATCGGTATTTATTTAAGATTCTGGGTATTTAAGTACTGGGCACTACATTTTTTGATTCTGGGTATTTAAGTACTGTCAAAAAATCTGATTCGTTAAGGTAGATCAGTTTATAAACGGGTAGAATGGGGGTAGACCCCAAATATATAATTTGAAATTAATTTTTATAAAGGTTTAATTTAATGTAAGCTATTCATGACAGTGAAAAATAAATATTAGTCACTACTCGAGTAACATCTTGGGCCATCCAGTGCATTTCGATCATGTAGTCCCCTTCCGGAAATGCCAGTACTTTGGTTAATCGGTGATTGGCTTTCTCCGTGGTTAGCTTGTCAACAATAATGTCGTGCTAAAATTTAATAAATTAATAAATTTTACATCGAAATGATTAGTCGCGTTACATCATATGGGCAGGAGTGATTCATATTCGAATTTTCTCTTATGAACTCAAAAAAGTAATTTGTGATAGGACTGGCTTTTCGGTTCTTCAAAAATTTACATCCATCTACGGATACGTTATATAGGAAGGGTCTATAGCCATTCATGCGCTTATAGAGCCCCAAGTTGAACTAAAATTAACATTTGATTCACTTTTGGTTAAATATAAAGTATAATTTATACCTTTATTCGGGTGATTGGTACTTTAAATAGATTTATTTTTACTGAGGCATATTTGTAGGATCGATTAACGGCCTTTAAAACGCAATATTCAACATCCGCGAACTCCTTATCCGTGGTTGTGCACTTAAAGTTTGTAAACTCGACTCGGCTTGTGATCTAAAGGACACAAAATTCTTTATATGTTCTAAGTTTTTTAATTTGGTAATCTCACTTCATTGATAGCACAAAGTAACACCACAAAACAGGAGAATATTGGATCCCGCAACAAGTGCATCTTCTGGCATTTATGGATGGCGATTGAGAAAATTCGTTTTTATATTTTGTTTCCAAACGAATAAACCTATAAAATATACCAAATTTGTTCCGCCATTTGGATGGGCTTTAATCGAAAAATTGAACCCATTTTTAAATTACTTCATTTATGGAGCACCACGTGCTGTTAATATTATTATTTGTTTTTTTTTTTCCTTTTTTGAATTTTTTCCTCATAAAATTGTGGTGGTCTCCTGATCTCGTTACTTTTGCTCCTCCGATGGCCAATGTTCTGCCAATTTGTTACCGATCAGAAAATTTTGTAATCAGTCATTTTGTAACCATTTTGTAATCAGCGAACCCAAGAACTACTTTTCTCATTCAAAACATTTCTTAAATATCGTTTTCAATATTTTTGATACATGTCTAATACATCTCAAGTCTGATTCAGAATGAGCCTTAGATACATTTGGATTGGCCTATCAAAAACTGATTTCTTACCATCGGTACTTATTTAAAATAATTTCATAAATTGCGCTTTAATGATTGAAATATTTAATCGGTTTTTACTGATATAGTTGTCCTACTTTCAAAAAATATTATTCTTAAAGGTAGATAAGTTTAAGAAAGAGTATGGAAATGTAGTACACAAATACATACAGTTGCTTGTAATTTAGACGATCAGCAAGAAACCCCAAAAATATATTTTAAAATTAATATTATTATATGTATTGTTTAATGTAAGCCATGTCATGACAGTGACAGATAAACATTAACCACTATTCGGGTAACATCTTGGGCCATCCAGTGCATTTCGATCATGTAGTCCCCCTCCGGAAATGCCAGTACTTTGGTTAATCGGTGATTGACTTTCTCTGTGGTTAGCTTGTCGACAATAATGTCATGCTAAAATTAAATAAATTAATAAATTTTACATCGAAATGATTATTTCCGTTACATCATATGGGCAGGAGTGATTTATGTTCGAATTTTCTCTTATGAACTCAAAAAAGTAATTTGTGATAGGACTGGCTTTTCGGTTCTTCAAAAATTTACATCCATCTACGGATACGTTATATAAAAAGGGTCTATATCCGTTCATGCGCTTGTAGAGCCCCAAGTTGACCTAAAATTAACATTTGATTCACTTTTGGTTAAAAATAATGTGTAATTTACACCTTGACTCGAGTGATTGGTACTTTAAATAGATTTATTTTTACTGAGGCATATTTGTAGGATCGATTAACGGCCTTTAACACGCAATATTCAACATCCGCAAACTCCTTATCCGTGGTCCTGCACTTTAAATTTGTAAACTCGACTCGGCTAGTGATCTAAAGGACTCGAAATTCTTTATATGTTTTAAGTTTTTTAAATTTGGTAATCTCACTTCATTTATAGCACAAAGTAACACCACAAAACAAGAGAATATTGGATCCCGCAACAAGTGCATCTTCTGGCATTTATGGATGGCGATTGAGAAAATTCGTTTTGATATTTCATCTATTAGGTTTATCCAAACGAATAAATGTATAAGATATATCAATTTTGGCAATTTGTTTCAAATTAAGTACTTAAATGGCCTTTAAACGAAAAATTTAACCCGACTTACAATGACTTCATTTATTGTACAGCACGTGCTGTTAATAAGCGTAGGAAAATATTATTGAACCTAATTTTAAACATTAAAGCTACCTTGGGTAATCTATAAAAACAGTTTGTAACATTTAATTCACGCATGAACACCGTTATTCAACCTTAATCGATCAGCAATCACTTAGTCAAACAACCGGCATTGATTAAAAATTTATTATTGCAGTTTAATTTAGCATAAAAGTTATCAATATGTAAACAAGTTGGAATTTTGTAATGCTAACGCCTTTCGCTGGCCCCCATTTGACCACATGTTTACTTTCAAATTTCTCTCAAAGAGCGACGAGAAAAGGGGTAAGAGACTCAGTTTAGAAATGAGAAATGAGGAAACGGCTGTGGGCGAAAGCTTTTCCAAAGCTCGGCTCAAAAACAATCGGCTCCCGCACGTCCAAGCCCAATTACAAGCTCGGTTGCCGGAGAGGTGGCAACTTTTCGGGGTGTTCCAAAACCCCAACCCACAGTTACGTCTGTTTACCTTTCGGATTCGGCTGTGCTATCGCCGGAAAAAAACTAAACTTGTGTGCTCTGCAAATGAAATATCCACATAAACTTTATTCTTGCATTTTGGCTGGCATTTGCATGAGCATTTGGCATTCACCAATAAAATAAAAAATCGAACCACGCAGATAAATATTCATTAAAATTATCACTATTAGAACCTAGCAACAATGAAAATTAAATTTGAGGTGTGCGACGCGCGCCAAAGTCAAAGCCAATAGATTCGTATTGCGTTTCCGGTGGCTCGTATCGTTCGGGCCAATTTCAATAGAAATAATCGAATAAAAAGTAGAATAAATCACAAGCTTCGGCTAGTGGAATTCCTCATCTAATTGGGTCATTTACGTCCCCTCGTCATCAAGTGAAAAGGGGTAAGTCCACAAACATTTTTCTGGACTGACATCAGACATTAGTTTGGCAACCGAAAAGTGTTTATCTCTCTTGCCAAATTAGAAACTATGTTTTGACTTTTTGCATACACTGACGCACTTGGAACGGTCGATTAACATTTAGCACTAATCGGTTACCAATTTATTTATGAGCTCCCAATATGCTAATTCATTTTTAAAGATGCCATATAAAAAGTGCTAATTTCTTGATAACCTCAATGGAGTGCGAATTAAATGATTCATTGAAACTTATTTTAGTATTTGTTTACAAATCGCAAAAAGTTAGCTTATTCTCTAAAATGTAACAATATCCCCTTGTTATAGGCACTCAGGGGAACTTACTGGATATTACCTGAAATTTTTTTTTTAGTTGCAAAAAAATGGCTGGCATGCGGCTGTGGAAATGCATTATTTGATTACGTGACTCAAAGCTGAGTACGTGTCTATAGCGCGGGTTCCCCAAAAAAAGTCTAATCCGACCCTTAAATATTCTCTTAGTATTACCTCATGTACAATACATATTTAATTGACATGCCATAATCTGGAGTAGCTCATGTATCGAGTAAGTTTCCTATAATATTCTTAAAACCATGCCAGGCTTTCACCTTTCATTAAGTTCAATTCTTTCGGTGATATTCCAAAAAGAACACTCACAGTAATTGGCAGATTAAACTGGATTTTTGTGGTTTTCAACGAAAGACCCGACTCGGAAATTCTTAAATATTTTTTATTTGCCACATCTTGATCGCTGCCGGATAGATAAGATTTCGCACAGATGAGGTTTTTCGTTTTCATTGATGCGTAATCGTCTGCGAGGGAAACGCGTTTTGCATAAAAATCGCAAACTTATCAAAAGTGTGCGCCATAAAATCCGAGTATAAACAATCCAATCATAAATATTCAAATTTAATCAAACAAAAGCCGGTAGCAAAAAAAAAATACTCCTCTTCCAAACGGCTGTCGTCTAAGTCTTCTGATATGGATTGTGAAACCCGTTTTATGATAATTTTACGAAATTTGCTTAGCCAGCGATTAATCACTTATTCAATCAAATCATCAAGAGCCAAACGTGGGAGTCCTAATTGAGAATTGAAGGGGTTTCCTAACTATCTTCAGGTGAATGTTCCCCATAGACTCTAACAAGAGTTCAGAGCAAATAAGCTCGGTTCTCAACAAGCAGACTATTTTTAGTGCATGTCTCTGACATTGGAATAAACAATTGAGCCATTGATGTGGCTCTGAAAAAATAAAAAACAATTTGCATGGGTATGGCTAACAATATAGGCTACTAATTCAAATCAAACAATGTGGGGGCTAAGCAAAGAGTTAACGTCTTGCCATAAATTTCGGTTGAATTTCAAAGTGTGACTTGGCATGTGACTTCATAAATCATCTTATTGCAGTAGAGTTTTGTTACAGTTTCATAAATTAATATAAAAGCCTATCTTGGACTTAAAAGTCACGTTCTAGGGGTTACAAAAGAGATCTTACGCTGCTCGCAATAAGTATAGAAAATATTTTAACTACAACAGGCTTTTTTTTAGCCAGGTATTAAGTTTTTCCTCCTAGATAACAAATCACATATGGAGCAGAGATCACAGTTGGCCAACGTGTTGTATACGTGATTTTATAACTATAAAAAATAACTGTGCAAAGACCATGCCAACTATAGCTTACCCCTTTCCATATTCCTCCCTGCACCTTTTGAAACACAGCTTTCTGATATGATTTTTGCCAACAAAACAACAAATCAGAAAACCAAACCAAAACACACCGAACGCATTTAATTGAAATGGGCGACAGTACGTTGTTGGTTTTGTGGAAATTGGTCAGTGATCGGCCACGCCCACTGTGGCTGGTTACGCCCTTTATGGCAATTTGGAAGTCATGCGAAATACGTTTCGCAATTGGCCCTGTAATTTAAGCCGTCAAATAGTCAAAACAAAACAAAAAACAAAAGTAAGCAAGTTAAAAACAAAACAGAAAAAAGTGGGCAACAAATGTAATTGAACAATTAATTGAACATTTGTGCTTCCTGTTGGCTTTCAGCTCCATTATAAAGTTGATTCAAGTTTAGGGATAACAAGCAATGAACTCTCAAAAATCTCTCAGTATATAAATATTTATATTTTATTCGTAGGGCCAGAGGTCAAGCACGTGTGTCAAGGTGCAAAGTTCAGGGCACTTGTAGGCCATCATAAAACTGCGAGCATCTAAGTGCCAGTGCGAACAAACTTTAAAAAAGTCATCACTACAATCACTTTAAGGAAGTTATAATTTCAAAGCAATTAAAGCACAAATCACGGCAATTTCGCCGCCTACATTTCTTTTAATTTCACACACACCCACCGAATAAAGACACCATCCAGCAGGCACTTACTTTCTAAGTGCGCGGGTTCATAAATAGTTAAAAATAAACCAAAACAAAGGGAAACGCCTTCGCAAAGGGGGTATATATAGTGATCGGGCGCCCGGTTTGTTTGACATCATCCAAAATTAGCTGAAATTTCGGCAGCTCCGAGCAGTTCATTGAGATCAGTGCAAAACCAGTTACCGGCATCTTGACGTATTTATCTAAAACAAAAGCAATGGTTTTATATCGTTGTTTTTGTAAATAAACTATCTGCCACATGAATGATTGTATTCGAGTCATTGGACTGCGTTTAGGAAACAAAATTGCACAACAAAAAACCGGCAAAAAAAAATCCCAAACATAAAGTGGCTAAAAACGTGTAAGAAAGTTAGAACTGGAGAATAATCGGCTTCAAAATACTCTGTAAAAAAAGTTATTTTTATTAAAGTGAGAAATATTACCCCTGCTATAAAGGACTTTTTTAAATGAAAATTTCTAGGTGTAAGCATGTTGTGCTTCAGCCGGTTACAGCCTAATCTACTCGTCAACTAATGGATATGAAAACATCGAAACCGCTTGCTTCTCCGTCTCTGAACTTGGCCAGACTATAAAGACAGTGATATTTATGGCCTTTTATCACATAAAGCCCGTTTCAATTAATTTAAATAATTCCATTTGTCACAGCATCAGCTGTCTAGGAAGCTTTTTGGCGAATTTTTGAATTTCGATGTTCATCTTGAATTTCAAGTGCAATGCTTAAACATTAAAATGCCGTAAATTAACAATTTTATAGCCAAAACTTCTCAAACAATAACAAAACCTTTACGGGCCTCGATGACTGACAGGCCCATGGAAAGTTTCAATCTAATCCAAAATGAAAATTCACGTTTTTCTCACATCTTATGTGACAACCTTTCAATGCATTTGTGATTGGGAACCACACTCTTGTAAATGCACTCTTTAAAAATAGATGATCACGCCGAAGGGTTATCACACAATTTATGCCCTCCGTTTCCATTTAAAACCGACTCGACCCCAAAAGCTATCACTAAGCCTTGCATTTAAATATTTATTTATCCATGACATTTTTTTGTATCGGCTTTTGTTTGTCGAAAAAGAAGACCCATACACACATTCACGAAGTGTCAAGTTCATTATGGAAATAATCAGAATTCTTGCAGAAACTATTTGTTAAGTAAACGACGCGTCGGAGCCGCTAGACTTTCAGTTGCGTCAAAATAGTTTGGTAATAATACTCCAGTTAAATCCTTAGTCAGTAAACATTTGTTTTGAGTTGAAACTTCCCACTCTTAAGAGTACTTAAAAGATAGTTATTACATTCTGGGGGTAACTATAGTTGAAATCCTACAGGTATTTATTCAAAAGGACAAAACCTGATATTTTTATTGAGATTACAAGCTGGTTTAAATATTCATAAAATTTAATATTATAGGCATATGAAGATACACAAAGTGCATGAATAAAATGAAGTGCAAGACCCAAGCATGTATATAGAGAGTGATTTGGCTGGTGCAGTGGCAGGTAACTGGTCAAATCTGGTTTTGGGTCATCTCGAGATATGTTAACAGTCTACCTGGCTATCGTCTAGAAAGGTTACTACATAGAAGTTGCTGCCAGAAAATTACACCTGCATTCCGCCATTGAATGGAAAATTTTGGAAGAAAAAAAAACCCAAAAATCTTATTCATTCAACCTTATAATATATGGGACTCCCCCGTACCGTAAACTTTCCATTCCCAAATATAGGGGACGAATATAATAAACAACCAGTGTCACTGGCGGCTCACGAGGTGAACGAGTGTTTTTGAAAATTGCTGAGCCAAGCAAATAATTGCAGACTAATTCCAAAAGAATTTACAACTTCCTTTCTTTTCGACTTATGTTTGAAAACTGAAAAAAACCTTAAAGTGATACCTACTAAGTGCCGCAAAAAGGGAACTAAACACGCAACTACCTTTCCCATTTCCCCCCACCCGAAGCGATTATCAGTTTAACAGGTGACCGATCATCCCGGTTCCCAAAACCCTAATAGAGCCAGAAAAACAATATCAACACTCGAGCCGAAGCAGCGACTCAGGCACTCAGATATACTCAGTTATTCAGACACCCAGATAGCCAGGCCTGAGACCCAACTCAAACGTAGTTAGCAAACGATGACGAAGTTTTGATTTTTATAAAAGACAAGGTCCGCATCAAGTACAAAACAGTTTCGTTCGAAACGCTGTCGTGTGAAGAGCCAAGCAAGCGAGCAGAACCGAACAACGAATATCATTCAGATAGTTTTCGGTGCCAAAAAAAGCCACAGACTTATAATACATAGATGCACCCCAGCACCTAAGCCGGTGTATAGGATTTAACTTTACGCAACTGGTGTCATTCAGTGTCTAATTAACTTGAACTTCGTACACGCAGCTTGTTTGCTTTGATTAGCTGCTACCCCGAAGAGGCGGACTCTAAAATGAAGTCCAATACGGCTTCGGATCACGTATATTTCAACGATGGATTCAAGTGCTCAACGATCAGTATCCAAACTAACATCACGGAACAGAATGGAAGTACCAATAACAGCGTTGGTTCCCAAGGATCCAAGGAATTCATATGTAAGTGGCTTTTTAATATTAAAACTGAGCTTTTTTTTTAAGAAATGTGTTTGTTTATTAAAGTAGAAAGTGAAGTTAGGCATTCAATTATTATGTTTATGATTTAAAACGAAACGTGAATCGTTTGTGAAGTTGATGAATTGTCATTTGAATAAAACGACAAGCTATTTGACGATAAACTATATATCCAATTTTAGTAATTGAAATAATACCCCAATAGGTTTATTTTAGAACTTGTAAAATTATTGATGAACTCTAACTCTATTAATTCATTAGGTCACAACTTCCCAGCCTTCTTATTAACAAATTAGATTGCTGATTTCATAATTAGTTCCTTGCCAAACGTAATTAAAGTGCCTAACTGAAATTCCGCGAATAATTTTTCACAAAACCAATCGAATGGGAAGTGGGCGAGTTGAAATGCAATTGTTTTTCACGTTTTCTCAGCCGCTAAGCTCTGTCTTAACCTTGGCAATGAAATTCGCGTAGATCATGGAAAACTTTCGAATGAAAAACACAAGCAATAACAATGCCCTAGAGCAACCTGAAATAATAGGGGGAGAATGGATCGAGTTGACTCGAGTGGGGTGCTGGCCAGAAGAAACAGATCGAGCGTGGCACTCGGTAGTACGTGATTATGAATCAGAAGTGAAATGCTACCGTTATCGTAGGCAACTTAAAAATTTCATTAAGCTGCATTTATGCAAGCGTTTGCACCTATTCTTTCTCTGATTTACATATACTTTGTTTAACCTCTCCATAAAGACTGCGTCAACTATTTGCATATAACCTTTTTGTTTTTTATCAACAGTAACCGAGGATGGAAAAAAAGTAAAGCCCCCGCTAAGCACTCTGGAATGCACTCGCAGTTGGCTTCAAAATTGCGGGCGCAGGACCTTCAACCGCAAAACCCTGCACAAAAGACTGCCCATACTTTCGTGGCTTCCTCGCTATAATAGTCAGGATGCCGTCGGTGACTTGGTGGCTGGTATTACTGTAGGTCTAACGGTGATCCCCCAGGCACTGGCCTATGCAGGAATAGCAGGATTACCAGTAGCTGTAAGTAATATCTTGTTCCTTAGCTGATTTCTTTTCCTGATTTTCCTACTTTTAGTACGGTCTGTATGCCTCATTTGTGGGGTGTTTTGTGTACATCTTCCTGGGAAGTTGCAAGGATGTGCCCATGGGACCCTCAGCGATAGTGGCGCTGCTCACCTACCAGGCAGCGCAGGGGTCCTGGCAAAAGTCGGTGCTACTGTGCCTCCTCAGTGGAATAGTGGAACTTTTGATGGGCCTCTTTGGACTGGGATTCCTCATCGATTTCGTGTCTGGCCCAGTTTCATCCGGATTCACCTCGGCCGTGTCGCTCATTATTCTAACATCCCAGGTCCAGAGCGTACTGGGGATTACAGCCAAGGGGAATACCTTTGTGGAGATCTGGACACAGGTCTTCCACAATATTGAGCACACACGGGCCGGTGACACTGTCCTGGGAATCACCTGCATAGTTGTATTGCTCCTGATGCGCAGTCTCTCCTCCTGCAAGGTTGGGCCCGCCGATGAGAGTGAGTGTACAAAGTTCCAGCGGGCCGTAAACAAGATCCTGTGGATTGTGGGCACTGCCAGGAATGCCATTCTGGTGGTGGTTTGCTGCTTGATGGGCTATCTGTTGCACAGCGAGGAGCATGGCGCTCCTTTTAGGGTGGTGGGCGACATTCCTCCTGGACTGCCAAGTCTTCAGTTGCCGCCCTTTTCGCTGAGCGCGAACGAGACTAGTAACGGAGTGGCCCAGGGATTCGTGGAGATGGTGCACAGCATGGGATCTGGCCTGGTGGTAATCCCATTAATATCCCTAATGGAAAATATTGCTATTTGTAAGGCTTTTGGTGAGTGATTTAGTAAAAAGTTACATCGAACTGCATCTAACAGACCATTATTTATAGCCAATGGAAAGCCGGTTGATGCCTCGCAAGAGCTGATTGCCATCGGTACCGCCAATATCTTCAACTCTTTTGTGCAAGCCTTCCCTGGAACCGGAGCCCTGAGTCGGGGGGCAGTGAATAATGCCAGTGGAGTGCGCACACCACTTAGCAACATCTACTCCGGTGGCCTGGTGATGATTGCCCTGCTATTCCTCACACCCTACTTCTTCTTCATCCCGCGGCCTACTCTAGCTGCCATCATTATATCTGCTGTGGTGTTCATGATCGAAGTCAAAGTGGTCAAGCCAATGTGGAGATCAAAGAGTGAGTGCAGACATCCGTAGATATCCGCAACCCTTAACCGAATATTTCATTCTCCAGAAAGCGACCTGGTGCCTGGAGTGGGTACATTCGTGGCCTGTCTCGTGCTACCTCTGGAATGGGGAATTCTAATAGGAGTGGGCCTCAACGTGATCTTCATTCTATACCATGCGGCACGGCCCAAGCTCACCACCGAACTTCTGACCACTCAGGCGGGAGTGGAGTACTCCATGATCACGCCAGATCGATGCCTAATCTTTCCATCAGTGGACTATGTCCGGAATCTGGTCAACAAGCAGTCCATACGACAAAATGTCCCGGTGGTAATCGATGCCTCCCATGTCTATGGCGCTGACTTCACGACGGCAACTGTCATAGACTCGCTGATTAGCGACTTTAACCAGCGCGGACAGCTTCTGTTCTTTTATAACCTGAAGCCCAGTATTTGCGCCATCTTCGAGCAGGTGTCGGCCGCGCAGTTTGTGGTCTACTACCAGGAACAGCAGCTGGATGACTTGCTGAAGGAGCGGAACTATGTGCAGAAACGCCTGGAGACGGCATGACCTCCTATACACGTGATTTAGAACTAGATGAAGTAGTTTTTTCGATTTAGTTTAGTATTGTAAATAGTTAATGTGTAGAATTAGACGCAGCACACCCACACTATTAGAAATCATAAGCCGTCCATCTATGTAGATATAGTTTTGAATTAAGTTTTGATAGTATAACATAGTTTGAATTAATTAAAAACCATGAAATATTTACATAAATTTTGAAAATTTAAGTCTGCAGTTGCTACGGATTGATGGATAATTTTAATTAATTTGAATTCATACTACTCATAGGTCAGCAGGAAACGCATCCTGGTCTGAAAGCCCAGTTGGATTCATTATGAAACTTTCATAACTGAACCCTCTAGAATTTTGGATTCAGAAAAGTGCCCCCCTGGTACCAAACTTCCAATATTTTTGCAATTTTGAAGCCATTAAAATATTTATTCAAACTTTAAATAACACAAATTGTCAAACAATTATGAAAAGAGTTCAATCATTTAAGGAGCTTAATCTTCAATCGCAAGTTTGTTGGTTATCCAACCCATATACTCCGATACATCAGTGTACACCTTCACCGGGGTCTTTTCGCAATCATAATGCCTTTCGGTCATTATTCCGGCCTGAACAAAACGTGCTTTACTATTAAATAGACGCAAAAAAGTTAGTGACCCTCCGGAGTCGCCCCTACAGCTATCGGTTTCATAGGCGTCTATGCAGACTTGGCTGTCTACAGTAATGTTACACTCGCTCGACGGCAGTCGTCTGACGTATGCCTTTGTAGGCGTGTAAGTGGTTACTCTTTGGTCCCTTATACCCCACCCGTGTACCTCCAAGTATTTCTCGGTCTGACTCCACACTTGGCCGTCTGGAAATATCGGCAGGCATATGGGTCGAATAAAGTTGTTGAACCGCACGGGGTACCTTAGGCTGATCAATGCAATGTCATTCTTTGAACTATCTTTTACGTATTTCTCGTGGGCGATAAATTTTAAGATCGGAACATTTTGGGGATTCTCCATGAGAGTGCCCATTGGGTCTTGGGGGGTGACCAAGCGATCTTGGTTATTATTAACGTCATACTCTCCGAAACGGACAAATTCTCTATTAAAATATTATTATTATTAAAAATTTAGTATTTTTGTGTTTTTCGTTTGGTTTATAAGCTCTGTACTTACAGGTCCTCATGCATACAGTGCGCAGCCGTCAAAACAAATGCTGTTTAAGAAAAAAGAGAGTCATAAAAGAATTGAAAATGCTATAGAACTCACTAGAAGTAATCAGCGTGCCGCCACATGGATACAATGCCCTGATCATTTCGGGCCGACGTTTTAACACGAGTATGGCCAACCAAGGTCGCGATTTCGGGGTAACATCTTCAAGTTTCATGTAGTGGACTTTTCTAATTTGTTCGAAAGTGCCGCACATATCATCGTAATTCTTAAGCAAGGTTACCCCCACAGAATTCAGAGGTGCTTCATAGCAAAAAGTGTCACGCTAAAGGGGCGTGGATCTTAGTCTTAGAATCTGAAAGTCAATCTTGTCGATTTACTTACTTCTTGGCAAGAAGAAATTGATTTATTCAGTGTTTCCTCTTGGTCGGCTAGGTCAATTTTCCCATTAATTTTATTTTCAATAGTTTTAACAGCCGGCCAGTTCCAACGATGCAGGCATTTGCCTACTTTATTATCATGTGTCTTGCAGCATTTGGAATCCACAAGGCGAATTCCAACAAGGCCCAAGGTTAGGCAAATCGCCAAAATCAAAAATCTCAAACCCAACATTCTTTCTGAATGCTTGTTTGCGACTGTGGACACCCGAATTCAGCTTCCGCTACAAAAGCTTTAAACAGGAAATTAAGTCCATTGTTGATAACTAAAAATGTATAAATAAGTCGCAGGTCATGGGACGCAGAAAAGTTCAATAAGGTTATCAGGTACTTCCGATTAACAGACAAAAATGTACACCATTACTGATAAAGTTTCACAGGGTACTGTGTCGACGACAACATTATTGATTCTATTCATAGCTCTGCCAAATTGTATCCGATCAGGAAACAAAGTACCATTTTGTAATCAGCAAACTTAAAAGTTTCGACTTTCCTCATTCAAAACATTGCTTAAATATCGTTTTTTAAATTTTCTAGTTTTTTCAAATGATACCCATCAAATTGTGCTTCTCTCGCTGCCATTATTATATCTGCTGTGGTGTTCATAATCGAGGTCAAAGTGGTCGAGTCAATATGAAGCTCAAAGAGTGAGTGCAAGACATCCATTGATATCCGCAACCCTTAACCGAATATTTCAATCTCTATAAAGTGACCAGGTGCCTTGAGTGGGTACATTTGTGGGCTGCCTCGTTTACCTCTGGATTGGGGCGTTCTAACTGGAGTGGGACTTAACACGATTTTCATTCGGCATGCGGCATGCGTGCCAAGCGGCACGCCCCAAGCTTACCACCGAACTTCTGACCACCCAGGCGGGAGTGGGGAACTCAATGATCAATACTCCTAATCTTTGCTTCAGTGGACTATTTCCGGAATCTGGTCAACAAGCAGTCCATACGACAAAATTTCCGGTGGTAATCGATACCTCCCATGTCTATGGCGTAGACTTCAGGATGACAATAGCCATAGACTCGCTGATTAGCGACTTTAACCAGCGCGGACAGCTTCTGTTCTTTTATAACCTGAAGCCCAGTATTTGCGCCATCTTCGAGCAGGTGTCGGCCGCGCAGTTTGTGGTCTACTACCAGGAGCAGCAGCTGGATGACTTGCTGAAGGAGCGGAACTATGTGCAGAAACGCCTTCAAAAAAGACCCTGGTTCCCAATTTCCAATATTTTTGCAATTTTGAAGACATTAAAATATTTATTCAAACTTCAAATAACTCAAATTGTCATACTATTATGAAAAGAATTCAAGCATTTAAGGAGCTTAATCTTCAATCGCAAGTTTGTTGGTTATCCAACCCATAAATGCAGATACATCAGTGTACACCTTCACCGGGGTCTTTTCGCAATCATAATGCCTTTCGGTCAGGATTCCGGCCTGAACAAAACGTGCTTTACTGTTAAAATTACGCAAATACGCCAGTGACCCTCCGGAGTCGCCCCTACAGCTATCGGTTTCATAGGCGTCTATGCAGATTTGGCTGTCGACAGTAATGTTGCACTCGCTTGGCGGCAGTCGCTTGACGTATGCCTTTCTAGGCGTGTAAGTGTGTATTATTCGGTCCCTTATACCCCACCCGTGTACCTCCAGGTATTGCTCGGTCTGACTCCACACGTCTGGAAATATCGGCAGGCATATGGGTCGAACAAAATCGTTGAACCGCACGGGGTACCTCAGGCTGATCAATGCAATGTCATTCTTTAAACTATCTTTTACGTATTCCTCGTGGGCGATAAATTTATAGATCGGAACATCCTGGTGCTTATCCATCGGAGTCCCCAATACGGCTTCGGGGTTGTATAAGCGCTCATCGTAATTCAAAATGTCATGTTCTCCGAAACGGACAAACTCTCTAATAAAATAGGTATTGTAAAATTTAAAATTTTTGTGTTTTTCGTTTGTTTTATAACTCCTGTACTTACAAGTCCAGCCGTCAAAACAAATGCTGTTTAAGAAAAAAGAGTGTAATAAAATAATTGAAAATGCTAATGCTATAGAACTCACTAGAAGTAATCAGCGTGCCGCCACATGAAAACGCTACCCTGATCACTTCGGGCCGAGGTTTTAACTTGAGTATGGCCATCCAAGGCCGCGATTTCGGGGTTACGTCGTTACGTTTCGGGGTGGGAAATGTTGTAATTAGTTCGAAAGTACCGCACATATCATCGTAATTCTTTAGCAAGGTTCGTCCCATAGAATTCAGAGGTTCTTCACAGCAAAAAGTATCACGCTAAAGGGGCGTGAATTAGCCTTCTGAAAGTCAATCTTGTCGATTTACTTACTTCTTGACAAGAAGAAATTGATTTATTCAGTGTTTCCTCCTGTTCGGTTAGGTCAATCTTCCTTCTAATTTTATTTTCAATAGTTTTAAGAGCCGGGCAGTCCTCACGATGCAGGCATTTCCCTACTTTGTTATCATGGGTCATGCAGCTATTGGAATGCACAAGGCCGATTCCAAAAAGGTCCAGAGTGAGGCAAATCGCCAAAACCGAAAATCTCAAACCCAACATTCTTTCCGAATGCTTACTCGCGACTGTGCGACACCCGAATTCAGCTTCCGCTTTAAACGGGAAATTAAGGCTTATTTTGATAACTAAAAATGTTTAAATAAGTCCCAGGTCATGGGACGCAGAAAAGTTCAATAAGGTTATCAGGTACTTCCGAGTAACAGAAAAAAATGTACACCATTACTGATAAAGATTCACAGGGTACTGTGTCGATGACAATATAAGATTGCTTTCGATCAACACTACGGTACTTTTCAACGACGTCCAAAATATGTGTTTTAATGGTAGATATGCATAGTACCAAAAAAAAAATAACGGTAACATGTTTTTGAATTTAAAAAGTAGCGTAGTTTTACAGCACTATAGTTCAAACTCTTCCAACCGATAGTTTAAGTATTTGTGTCCAGTGCTGCGTAGGCGTATAGAGGTGCGCCGTTACCCAACACTTTATTCATTCTCACGTGTAGTTGGTTAAACTTTTGTTTTCGCCCAATATTAGCTTACTTTAATAACTGAAAATGAAGCGCTTAACCGACGAACGTGCCAAAATCCTCTTTGAGAAGCTGTCCAAATAGTGAGTATAATATGAAAATTCGCAAGCACCGTATAAATGAGCGTATTTGCAGCATTGGAACGAATGTGAAGCAGCTGATTGACCGCCCAGATGGAACCTACTGTTTTAGGGAGCACAAGGATCGAGTTTACTACGTTTCTGAGCGCATCCTAAAGCTAAGCGAGTGCTTCGGCTATAAACAATTGGTTTGTGTTGGGACCTGTTTCGGGAAGTTTTCCAAGACCAACAAGTTGAAGTTCCACATCACCGCACTTTATTATCTGGCCCCCTATGCCCAATATAAGGTGTGGGTGAAGCCCTCATTTGAGCAGCAGTTCCTCTACGGCAACCACATCCCCAAATCTGGACTAGGTCGTATCACAGAGAATGCCGGGCAGTACCAAGGCGTGGTAGTGTACTCCATGAATGATCTGCCGCTAGGATTTGGTGTCTTGGCCCGTTCAACCACAGATTGCAAAACCGCCGATCCTCTGACCACTGTTTGCTTCCATCAGTCGGACATTGGAGAATATATCCGCGCTGAAGATACGCTTTTCTAACTGAAGAAACTCTTATAACGAGTTTATTTAGATTTTAAGTTCTAGAAAGTCTTTTAATGTTTTTAGATGTTAGTAGCTATTATTTTTAGGTAAATAATAAGTCTGCTGAGAAATTGAATTGTTTTTATTTTTTGGTGTCTTTTTTTTTTTCAACAAATATTTCGAATTTTTGAATAATTGTTGAAAGTGTGACCAGGTGGTCAAGACAGTAATTAGTGATGTGTCTCTATTTATAACTTAACAATTAATAAAAAATAAACTATTTGGAAATTCCTACATTATAGTTTTTTACAAAAAAAATATATTAAGATTTTTACTAATTAATACTAATTTCAATGAATTATTAAAAAAAACGACCATATCATCTCTAGCACGAATGCAACTCTCGGCGGCAACAAGAAGCAGACGCAAAAACAAGACAAAAATACTGATTTCTCCCATCAACCAGTCCATTATAAAATAATATAATATAATTATAACAATTTTAAATTTTTTGAAAAAGGACCCTAAGGACACTTTAAAATTATGAGCCATGCGGCTGCATTTTGGCTGCTAATGCTGCTGCAAGGCACCTTAACAGGTAAGAAGGTTGACAAAGTGACGAGTCAAATTCAGACGGCTGCTTCATTTAATGACTACGTTACACCCACGCCCACTCTACAATGTGGAGGAGACCTAGATTACCATTTACTACTGCTGATTCATCTAATCCTTTGTTTTTTTTTTTCCAACAGCCCTTGGCGAACGCACGCGCGATAAGATGTACGAGCCTATTCTAGGGGCCAGTTGTTTTCGCAGATTAAATGGCACGCACCAAACCGGCTGTTCCTGTAAATTTTTATATGTTATTCCGAATCCACCGATTCTTAAATCCTTCCTTTTCATAGCAACTTACTCCGGGTCTGTTGGCGTTCTGCATCTAATCAACGTCGAAGCCGACTTGCAATTTCTCCTCGGGAATCCGCCATCGCCACCGTATGCACCTCTGATACCACCACATTTGTTCACAAGAAGCAATCTAATGCGACTGAAAGAAGCCGGACCTACAAACATTTCAGTGGTATTGCTCATTAACGAAACAAAAAAGATGAAGCAGTTTTCGCACGAGCTCAACTGCCCCAATCAATATAGTGGAATCAATAGTAGCGAATCGTGCGATGCTAGCAATCCGGCAAATAGCTGGAACCCCTGGGGCACAGGACTGCTGCACGAAGACTTTCCTTTTCCCATCTACTATATAGCCGATTCAAAAGAAATAGACAAGCTGAAAGAATGTTTTGAAAAGTTTAACAACAAAAACTACGAAACTCACGCTCTGCGCAGCCTTTGTGCTATTGAGGTAAAATCTTTTATGTCGGCTGCCGTTAATACGGAGGTGTGCATGCGGCGTACAAACTTCATCAACAATCTAGGAGGCAGCAAGTACTGTGATCCTCTCGAGGGACGAAATGTGTATGCAACAGTATACCCTCGTAATTATTCAACAGAGAATGCAATAGAAGGGGCAAAGACGGACGAGAAGTTTATTTTAGTAACATGTCGATTGGACACCGCCAGCATGTTTGATGGCGTGGGTAAGTTTAAACAAAATATTGTTCATAACTTTGTGATTTTCACATACTTTTGTGTTGGTTACAGGTCTTGGTGCAATGGATTCAGTAGTCAGCTTGGCTGTGTTTACTCAGGTGGCTAACCTGTTGCGACAGATTCTGCCAGCCCAAAGCTCGCTACCCGATACGCGTCGTAATGTCCTCTTTGTGACTTTCAATGGTGAATCCTACGATTATATTGGGTCGCAGAGGTTTGTGTACGACATGGAGAATCTCCAATTCCCCCCAAAATCGGCAGGCGGATCTCCTATTGCCTTCGAAAACATTGAGTTTATGTTAGATATTGGCACACTAGATGACATAGCTAACATCAAGTTGCATGCCCTCACTAGCCCACCACCGTTGGCCCAGAAACTGCTTGAGCAACTTAACACGTATGCTAAATCGCCAAGGTATGGCTTTAATATAAACATACAGTCGGAGTTGGGTCTCCACATACCACCCACATCGGCGCAATCATTCTTACGCCGTGATTCAAAGTTTCCAGCTTTGATACTGAATACTCGCCCAACAAACAAATACTACCATTCCATTTACGACGACTCGGATAATGTTGAGTTCGTTTATGGCAACACTAGCCAGGATTTTACACAACTTGTGGAGGTGGGAGACTTCAAGACTTTAAAAGCAGATTCACTGCAAATGAAAGTACGAAATATATCCTCGATTGTGGCCCTAGCACTTTATCAAAGTCTCACTGGGAAAGAGTACACTGACACCAAGGTGGCTAATCCAATATTGGCGGATGAGCTGCTGCAGTGCTTTTTGGAATCAGCTGACTGTCCGATATTCAAGGCCGCATCGTATCCAGGAAGTCGAACGGCATTGCAGCTCCCACCAATGCGGTAAGAAAATTTTATATCTAACTGTTTTCATTTTTTCTAAATATCCCATAACTTAAAGGTATATAAGCGTCTTGGGTGGTTCCCAAGAGTCTTCCGGCTGGACGTATCGTTTGCTAGGCTATTTGCTCTCGCAGCCACAAAAAAATATATCACAAGTTAATTGCACCACTTTGCCACTGCACTACTTCGCCGGCTATAACAATACAGGAGAGTGTCGACTGACTACCCAAAACTATAGCCATGCCTTAAGTCCAGCCTTCCTTATCGATGGTAAGAAAATCACTTTCATCAGTATCGCACAGTAATTCACAAAACTTGCTCTTTAAAGGCTATGATTGGGCATCCGGTCAGTACTCTACATGGACTGAATCCACCTGGTCGCAATTCAGTGCGCGCATCTTTCTGCGTCCGTCCAATGTGCACCAGGTGACCACGCTCAGTGTGGGCATTGTGGTGCTCGTCGTCTCCTTCTGCCTGGTATACATAATTAGCTCGCGCGCCGAAGTCCTCTTCGAGGATTTGCCGGCAAGCAACGCTGCGTAAGTCATCTCATCTGCAACGCAAAATTCATCATCAGCATCTTCGGGGTCTACCCATGTTCAGATTCCTTCATTATTTTTTTCGTTTTCATATCGTATTTATTTGAGTTTTATTGTTTTTAGATTGTTTGGTTGATGTTACGACTACCACAGCGGGGTCATCCAACGTGTTCAACTGCTCATTCCTAAGATTTCTGCATGCAATGTAGTTAAGTTAGTAGCCAATTTAATTGCTCTCTGAACTGTATATGCCCTTTTAGGTTGCCGCCGCCGACGGCATGTTAGTCCAGAGGAAATCCTTCACGAAGATCTACGACCGGAATTTTATGGGCATTGCCGCTACTAAGATTGATCTAAGAAGCATAGACACACTTAACAAAAAGACACTAAATGATATTCTAACTTTTTGTCTAATTTAAACCAATAAGCAACACATTTATTTATATGATTTTTTGTATTTTAAACAATTAAAGTTAGCCTCTAGCGACTATATTGTATAATATGTAGACATTTAACCAATACTGTCTCATTTTAAAATCTTGTTCAACATTTCCCCGACCCGCTCTGCATTGTATATAGAGTAAACCAACAAAAATCAATTGAACCTCTAAGAATGCCAAGGAAGAGATGTCTGTACAAATATTGACATACATTAACATTGAGTATGGTATAAGGCTCAAATCAATGGAAATATTTATATACCCTCTGCATATTTTGCAAATGAACTTATTGATCTGAAATCATAACTTCATAAAAGACAAATAATTATAATTAACCTTATGAATGACTAAATTAAATAAGTTTAATAAATTTTGATAAGGTGTAAAGAGTAACGTAATTCCTTTCTTTGGTATGCTTAAAATCAAACAGTCTGCTTGATTTCTTTCACAGCTCTCAGTTGCACCAGTCCTTTAGCGAAGCTATCTTTCAACAATTGGCAAATGTTTCACCTAACAATACTTCTACAAAAATCGCCGTTTTATTATTTTAATCAAGCAAACCCTGTTGCCGGAGATTGGCAATGGAATCGGCAATGACCCCGGCGGACTCCTTCAAGTAACCTCCACTTAGCAGCATAACGACAGGAATTCTTAGTGTGCGGAACGTGCTGAACACCAAACGATCCCGCTCTACGACGCCCTCCGGAGTTATGGCTAGGTTGCCGAGTGGATCACCCTTTAAAACATCCGTCCCTGCATTATAAATGACCACATCCGGACGAAACTCTGCGAGGGACTGCATCAGGCAACGGTTGAGCTGACGCAGATAGTATGCATCTTCGGTGTGGTGTCTCAACTCGACGGCACACCGGATACTCTGCTTGGCCGCGTGATCTTTTGGGTAAACAAAGGCATTGTACATGTCCAGTATGTAGACGGCGGCCACGTTGCTGAAGTCGCGTTCGTGTCCGTTGCCCTGGTGGGCGTCCAGATCGACGATCATAATGCGGCGCACACGGTAGGGCTCCTGCTCGAACAACCGAATGATGAGGAGCGAAATGTCCGCATACGGACAGAAGCCGCCGCCTCGGTACGAGCAGCAGTGGTGGAAACCTCCACCCAGGTTAATGGCCCAGCCATAATCCAAGGCCAATTTGCCGGCCAAAATAGAGCCGGCGGCCTGGAAACGCATGGGTCGAAGGTAGGAGCTTTGGATGAATCGATTTGGAACAAAGGCCATCACCGGCACTTCAGCAATGCAGGCCACGTTCATGCTCCAATCGAGGGACCTCAAGTAGTCGCGGGTGTGGATGCGACGCAGTTGATCTTTGGTCAGCTCCTTGGGCTCGTAGAAGCTGCCGTCATTCAGCTTCAGGTTGGTGCATAGGATCTGTGAAGTTTTGTGAATAGAAACGGGGGTACATCTGTAAGTATACATACACACCTTCTGAATGTGCTTGCCCTTGGCCGCATCGAATGGGTGAAGGCGTTCAAGGCCAGCGAAACGCACCGCATACTTTCTGGAATAGACAATCGGCAGCTTGCTGGAAGACCTGGCATCCTCCCTCTTTACCCAGACCACTTCCTCGGACTCGATGTCCTCGTGGTGGACTCTCTCAGTCAGCCGTTTCATGGTTTTTCGCCGATTTAATTCGATTTTTATGAAGGTTACATCCGACACCAGTTGAACTTCCTACGCAGCTAGAAAATGCAATTCGGAAAACGGTTTGGGGTGGGGGTTGATGAGGTGCATCGTCAGCTGTTGCCCGGAAAAGCTTTCAAGCTTTTTCCAATGAATTCAAACACGCTTGACAGTTTTAAAAACATAGTTTTAATTTCACTCTACACAGTTCGAAGACACTACATGAAAAAAATTAAATTTCTGATGCAATAGATATGCGTTTGCTTTCACTTAGATAAACTGGACGATTGTGGTCATCTTGCAATATCCTGTAGGTGTTAAGGACACGATGGCCCTGTGAGTTTCGCAGTTGCCAAAAGTTCTGCCACTTTAGTAATGAAAGAGGATAAGTATATTATTTAAAAATTATTAAAACACTCACAAGCTCTTGGGGGATATCTATGGGTGTTTGAAAAACAAACCAAATGACAGCTTCTGCACAGGGCGGAGTGGTTAGTGAACCTAAAAAAAAACATATTTAAGGTCCTGGAAATAGATAAAAAAAATGTTGACAAAATCAAACCTTGGTAGCTTAGATATTGGTCTGTGTCCATGCCACCAAAGAGGTCTTTCAGGGCCATGCTTTTATCAAGATGTTTGGCGCTTTCCACCGCTGATATTTCAGAGACTTGATTGAAGATTTCGTTGAGGGCTACTGACTCCATCTCTGGAGGCTTAAAAAGTTCAGGATGATTAAGCCAAGCGAGTGAAATTCGTCAGCATAACCTACTTTCAAATTCCTTAGCATTATGGCCAGTACAGCAAACCCATTTGGCTGACGCCCAGCTTCACTATTGGTTTCATAGGTGGCATTTTTGTGGACTATGTGCATCTCTCCATCGTAGAACTTCCCATCTAGATTGTGCTCCGATCCCCTGCTCTGTTCGGAGCCCCAGTGGAAGTGCAGTTGCTGGGCCTCGAAGATATGACCACCCTCAGTGCTGATGCAGACGGCTGGCTGCTCGTCCTCCACAGTCTTGGGAATCCTCATGAGGACGGTCGGGCCCACGTTAATAACTGATAAAGGATCACACAATAGTTTGTGGTAATTTATTAGCTCCAGTTTGGGAACATAGCTCGTCGTGGCCTTTGGAGAAGTCCATATTTAAGTGGTAATCTAGATTGATTTCATTACCCACGTTATACTTGCAAAGCGCAATGGGGGATTGCCTCTGTCCACCCTTAATGTTCCAATCTCTTCCATTTTTATTGTAGTTAAACCCAGAATGATTTCGGGTTCCAGAATTGGTTAGTGCAAAGCTTCGAACTATTAGAAACATAAGCTAAATGACTACGAAAATTTTTCAAAAATTATAACTACGACGGACTTTTCACTACTAACATGACTTTATTTTAGGACTCGGACATAAACACGTGAAGTAAAATCTTAATAAATCTAGTTTAAGGACAGATGTATAGCTTTTTCTCCTCCAGCTTCTTGGCGTTTCTGTCTATTAAGTTCTGCTCCACGATACGATCGCAACCCTGATAAATATACTTTATGAAAAAGAACAAAATCTCAAAAATGGCCACCATGCAAAAGCCCACAAAAATGGACATAATGTTTCCGATAGTACCTGTAAGAATTTGGTGTCTATAAGATACATATATAATGTTTGTTGCAAGAATACTTACTGAATATCTCAAACCAGGCATTGTTTAGCAAACGGATGTAGTACTGGGCGTTTGGATCACCAAAGTAAACCCTGAGTACGGATATATCCTCGCTAAACTGGGTTTGGTTGTTTTCATCGACTTTTAAGCTAGCCAGATAGTTGTCAATTGGCAGAGAGCTCATGGAAACCCGATATTGTACATCGTTGCAGGAGGGAAGACATTGGGGGCAATAAAGAGCCTCCTCTACTTCACGCTCCAATCCTTCGATAAGATGCCTTTCCGTCATTACATTTCGCCACTTGACTGGGGATTAGAGAAATCTCAAGGATTTTGGCCTAAAAAGTATAAAGATAAGCCTACACATGTACTGGTTGATGCAGGGAAGATGGCTCAAGGTGCAGTAAACCACACCATCCAGATTCTCCACCAGTTGCAGAGGAAGCTGAAAGGGCAAACATCGGCACAGTGCCATGATGCTCCGGATGCGACACCTGGTGATGCAGTTTGGAAAGGTGTACATATAGGCAGGGCTATTTGTAGCCTGTTCATGGGCTGATATATGCATCTCATATTCGAAATAGCATCGACGCTGAAAAGATAGCGTTGAAAAATGCCCCAGTTTTTTTTTAACAAAAGCTAAACCCACGCCAAATGGAGAAAACGACTTTAAGCTGTCATCAGTGTCCACCACTCTAGCATAGATCTGCAGGTAAGTATCCTCGCCCTGCCCAGGAAACATTTCCAGGGTATTCGACGAGCTAACCGTAGCATAATCATCAGCGTTGTGGATCATGACTATGTAGCCGTTGGTGTTCAGAATGGGAGCAAAGTAATCCGAGTGACTGGAGTTGAGAACCACGGTGAGACCCAGTTCAGGACTTGCTAAGCGATTTTTAAAGTTGCGCTGCTTAAGTCTAAAAAGATATTTGGTTAATTAATCACTCATGGCTTAGGCCCTTACATACATACTTGTTTTCTGTGTTAAAGGTGCAGCAAGGTCCATACATAGTTAGTCTCTCCTGAAAGGCAGATTGGCAGGGTATATCCACATTGGCTAGGGTGCACTTCAGGACATAATCCTTACAGTTAGGAGTAAGCTAAGAAAGCAACATTCAAAAACACATTTTAAAACCTGCTCAACAAGCTTACCATTATCATAATCCTGCGAGTGTCAAAAAAGGTCTCATTCTGCCAGGTTCCAAAAACATCCAAGAAGGTCTGGAAGCTGACAAAGTCTTCAGAGTCTATAGTTGCACCCACATGGACGTAGAAATCGCGCAAATAATTCAACCGCTCTAGGTAATACTCGACAGGACGGGTTATTGGACTACTTCTTCGCCTGTAAAGGATTAAGATCCTTAATCAATAATTTAAAAATTTGTTAAAGAATAACTAACAGTTCCTCGGCATACTCGAGGGCCGCCTTTCTCGAAATGCGATTGTTTGTGCAAATGGATACAGCGGGAAAGGGAACATTCTCCACAGGGTAAAGGGGGTCCTTCAAGTTGGTCACAAAGGACTGGGCCACGAACTGTTCCCAGGTAAGCGACAGGACTACCACCAAGGACACTGCAGTAACTGTATGCAACAGCAGCCAAATCAATCTAGTTTGAAAAAAAATTGTTTACCAAAGTACCACATGGCGTATGAGTACTATTTTGAAAAACCTTTCCCCCAAGGTAAGATCCGGCGACAAAAGCTTGTTGTATCCTTGAAGGGATATATTCTTTAGAAGATCCGTCATATCCAAACAAAAAGCCGAGCCCAGCGAATGTTTGCGCAATCCTTTCAATTTTTTCTCGTTGGCTGTCTTTGGATTTTTAATCCACCAAATGGCATTGGATGAAGTGCCTGGTTTTGCCATTTTAAACACTTTTAGGACTGTCTTTTATTCTAACGAAGACCTATTTCCTTGACTGCTGACACAATTCTAGCTCTAGAGGCTTTTCAAGACGAATAGGAAGCCTCTATGCCTCGAAAACTTATTTTTGGGCGGAACCTGCTAATGCATTTTGTTCATTAGCGCTTGGTTAATTGTTCGATTGATTTAGCTTAATTCATTTATTATTGTTTAAGTTAGTCTATCTTAAAGATACATATCAGTTCATTGCTTGAAAACCTGAGCCGAGTATTTACATTAATAAAACTAATATCCTTTGGGGACTATCGTTTTCCCCCGGGCCAGAAGGGCTGGCCTGGATATGTTCTGGATCCAACGAAGGCATACTGATTGGGATTGTGAACCCGGGCGATATCCGTATAGCTTCGGCCACCCCGAGATGGAGCTTGGAAATATCCTCGTGCTGGTGAACAGGATACACTGGCGAGGAGAAGGCAGAGGACCACCAGTAGTTGACACATAAATCCTTTGACTGACATGGCTGCTCAAGAAGTGCTGGTCGAGAACTGAGTTGCAGTTCTGCCGATTGCCGGCCTATTTATATGGATATCGGCAGCTGATCAGTTCTTGCCGTTCTCAGACGTTGGCTTATCAATCAGGTTTTGTTAAGACAATAACAAAAACAGCAACAAAAACAGCGAAAACCCCTGGAGAATTGCTGTGCCGCTCACGTAGATCGCTCTGCGTCTTTTTTGTATGATATAGCTTTTTATGATCACTTTGTGATCGTTTTTTTTTCTCAATATTTACTGACACGCTGCCCGCGCAAAGTCATTCACACCGCTCAGCCCGTTATGCCGGCACAGGCTGATCTTTAGTGATTCAGCATATATAGTCTACCTGATCTTGACTCTAATTGCACCGTGAATGATTTGGATATAGTGGCAGGTCTCGAGCCATGTTTAGCAGCATAGCATACATGCCAGTAGTTTCACGTATTTAAATTCTAATTAACAACTCTGACGGATTGAAGCAATGACGTCGTAGGTGCGCCATCAGAGGTGTTTTGCCAGTATTAGCAAATTCTTGCATAAACAATTGCCATGTTTGGGGCAAACAGTTGTCACTGACTTTAAGCCCGATGTCTTCCTTCCTGTAAGGTGGCTTGGAATCTGGTTTCTGGCTTTAATAAGTTTTACTTCCTCAATTACCGCCAGGGGGGAAGTCCTAGGCGACCAGCAGCTGCATTGCAATCTGAATCATTTAGCCTGAATCACGCTAAAGTACTTCAGCGGCATCGTAAAAGTGGCTATACATATATACCACACTTGTAAGCCATGAGTCCAGTCAGATGATGCCCTGGCTCATTACCAGATCAACCGACAAAGTTTAAGGAATTTCGTAACTGACAATCAAAAGTTGTAGCCCCAAAAGAATGTCGTTACTTCAGGCCCTGTTTTTTATTTTAATGATTTTTATAATGAAATTGGATCAAATTTCCAAGAAGAAAGTGACTTAGTAAAATAATAATAATAAAATGATTCAATACTAAATTAAAAAGACGCTCAGCAAAAGACGCTGGGAAAGTTTAGAAGCCTAAGGGGATTTTAATACACCCGGAAGCTGTAAAAAAATTCAATTTTTTCCTTTATGTTTTAAATCAGCATAAAATGAATTAGAAAAGGTAATTCCCGATATCAACAATGCAATAGAACCCTTACTTGAGAATGTTTCCCAAAGATTCATTCAATTAGCTAAGTCTTTAGATCCATTTTCACTAAAACTAATAATAATATAATTCTGAAACTCCTTGAATCCCAGACTGGAACATAACTCCAGAATCCCAATAACCTAGCAAAGCAAAACGATCCCCAATGGAGGCGCGACATTATGGAATCGCATACCCATTTCAGTCACGTTTTAGCGATTCACTGAACACGACTGTCCACTAAATGGGGGTTCAGTGATCATAAATCGGTTGCTTAACTTAAGTAGCGGATTTATAGAGCTAAAAATAAAATTAAGCCACTGTAGGATAGATGTAACTTTCGCTGGTTTTATTTTTTTAATGGGTAATACTGCAGACATGAACATGAACTTAAGATAATTATGGGAAACTCAACCCCACAGGGGGGAAAATTTAGTGTGAGGTAGAAATTTGGAGCCTCCAAGACCCACAAAGCCATCTGGCTTAAGGACTCTGGCTATTTGGGAGTAAGTACGTCCTTGCCGCTGACCTGAAGTCCTCCTTCCCTTCTTAGGATAGTGATAGGATGAATAAGATGGGTAGTTGTATCCATAACCTCCGGCATAGTGGTTATAACCGTAGTTTCCATAGCCCGAGCTTGGGTTTCCGTAGCCGTAACTTTCGTAGCTTGGGTTTCCATATCCATAGCTCCCATAATAGTCGCTTCCATAGCTCGGAGTTCCACTATGTCCCCTGCCAGATTTCCAGGACTTCCAAAAGAGTGCACTACTCCATCCTGGACAACAGGCTAACACGACAGTAAGAATTGTGAATACAGAAGATCGGAGTTTCATTTTGTTTCTATTTCGAATCACTTAAAGTTCTGACAATCCATCTACGCAGTTCTCCTCTATTTATACCCTGGGGAATGGGAATGGAAATGGGATTGGGATTGTTCACGGAGTTTGGATGGAGGACCGGTGACACATTATTGTGGTCTAGCTCATTTAAATGGTTTCTTTTTATTTGTACGTTTTTTTATTCCCATAAAAAGAGTCGGGATCTCTGGAAGATTAGCCTGGCCAGTGGCTATTCAATGCATTATGCTGGATTTATTACACCAGACGGATTGGCACGATCAAAATGCGGAGCACGCGCCACGCACTGGTCTGGAAGACTGAGCTATAGTAGATGGTCAGTGGACAATATATGTACAACGGATATCCCCAACCACAACAAAAAGATCTTAAACCATCAGCTTGATCCATTTTTATTTGTTTAAAACATTTAAAACGGTTAGGTTATAACGGTCGGAATTAAAATCCAACCAATTCAACCTTTTTTGCTTTAAGGCGTATTAGGTCTACGCCTTGAATAACAATAGACAATAAATCATTACTTCATTATACTAATTAAAACAATTAAACTCCTGATTCGAGTATGGTATTCCTTTCATGAGTAGGATGTGAAATAGATTTGATATTGGAATAAATGTATCTTAAAAGCTAAAATTAAAGCCCTCAGAGACGTGTCAATCCCCATGAAAAATTGTTTCCTCAAAAGTTAATATTATTGAAATGGAGATTGTTACATAAAAATGTATTATTTATTTAGAATTGTCATCCTGGGCGGCAAATTAATTCGGCGTTTATTGTATAACGTTTATTGTTATTGTATAACTAAACAACATAATTCCAAATTTTTTAGTCTTTGTTGACTTTTTTTTGAAGACGTGTGAAGATGCGCTGATCGCAGATAGTGTTCCCTTTCTATGGCTCTCTGTTCATCTCAATCTTTCTCTCAGTTTCTCCCAGAGAATTCAGATTCTTTGGTTCTCCCAATGATCTGGGGACAGGTTTTTAATGTTTAATCAAGCATCGCGGATAAGCATTAAGCCGGGAGTACAAAACAGACGCCAGTTAGAATTCGCCTCTCTTGGCGATCACATAAAAAATGACGCGATCTTCGCCAGCGTCGGTGACTGGCAAGGCCATCTTGTTCGCATCCCTCGTATACCTCCTAATCCACACGTGCCGCGGTCAGTTTGCTTTTTCGTCGCCCACAAGAGGGGCAGTAGCGTCCGCCGGCGGAGTCACGGTGGTAGCTGAACTCCCTGGACTCGGAGCACTGAATGGCTTGCTCAATGGATTGAACCATAACTTATTTCCGCAGCAGCAACAGCAGCAGTTCCAAAGGCAGCAGCTGGGTCACAGGCATCGAATGCCGGGACATGGTCAGCCCCAACAGCAACAAGCTCCACCAGGTTGGCCTCCCGGCTGGCAGTGGGGAGCCGGGAACAACCAAAATCAACCTGGATTCGGATGGAACCAACCAGGATTCGGACCTGGCTGGAATGGAGGCGGTGGCATGGGTCCGGGATGGAATGGAGGCGGTGGAGGCATGCCTCCAGGTTGGAATAGGGGAGGAGGCTGGAATGGTGGCCCAGGCTTTAATGGAGGCGGCGGGAGAGGTCCCCCACCAAGACCAGGCTGGAATGGAGGGGGACGACCACCACCACCAGAATGGAACGGAGGAATGGGTCCCCCTCCAAGACCGCCCTGGAATGGAGGCGGCGAACCACAACCCCCGCCAGAATGGAACAACAACCAACCGAATCCTAATCCACCAAAACAGGATGGGGTTGATCCAAGGGAGGAGAGCACAACGCCTAGTACACCCACTGCGCCGGTAACGCAGCCAACTTTCCAGCCACGCCCACCAACCAATCAGCCCACACAGGACACGCTGATCATTGGCACTAATCGACCGCCGCTGGTGCCGCCCCAGAACCCTAGTACGCCATCACCACCTGTGCCATTGCCGACGGCCCAACCTTATCACAACGTGGAGGTGTCCGAGGAACGTGGCATAATCTTTCCCAGCTCGGCGCAGTACATCCATCATCCCATCCAGGAGACCCGTTCCCAGCCAATAGATGTGAGGCGGAGATGAATCTCCGGAGCGGGATTCCCCCCACCGACACTGGTTGGATATTCGGTAGACTGCTGTGTAATTTCTCCGCTCAAGATCGTTTTTGTGGCTGGAAAACAGGTTTTTGATAGCCCTCGAGTAAACAAAGAATCCGACGCTTGACGAAGTTTCACAAATTTTTTAATAAATTATAAAATAAACAAAAATATGAATTAACCGATGGCTGGGTGGCTGGACAAAGGAAGGGGAATCATTGGAACGTATCGTTTATGTGAATTCTAGTAACCCCGCTGTCTGTACCCACCACTGGATGAAGTCGATCCGTAATTATTAGGCTGATAGTAAATGGGGCCTTCTGGATTATAATACTCAGGACGAGGAGGTTGCTGATAGTAGGCAGGAGGAGTATACACTGGCCTAGGTTGATGATAGTATGCGCCGCCCTGTGGTCTTCCCTGCTGGTAGCCATATCCTTCTCTATAGCCATGGTTGCAGTCCGGCCTACCGTGTTGTGGGTATCCGCCTTGGTGGTAGTGCGCCGAATCATCCAGACCCTCCAACAGGATCTCGGCAATCTTATCGAAAGTGGGTCGACAGTGAACCGAGCTTGCTAGGACCAGCAGAAGTACCACAGCTATCAACTTCATCTTTGTATTTTTAATTTAATTTTGATCGGGGCTTAAGGTTTCAGTCCGATTTTATAGCCAGCTGGTAGCAGATAAGGAACGTGACAGAAAACAATTAGAAGAGCCTTGAGCTATGTACATAATTGATTTTAGTGTTGATCACATAATCTGGTAAACAAGGTTGTTTGGAAGAGCTTTCTTTAAATGAAAACAAAATCAAGAATATAAGCAAAGCTTGGGAATTTAATTAAAATATACGTATTGAATTTAAGTAACTTAATACACAAAGGGATCGGGATTCCAGAATTTATATCTGTGGTCGGCATGGCCCTATATCTATACTCGAAGTTTCTAGATGGGGGAGGTGCCAAATTCATGTATATGGCTACATGATTTGTGTACATATAATTTGTGTTTAGATTGTAGATCTGCAGGACCTTAGCTCCTGAAAGATGACATACAAAGTAACAAAAGAAACCAGTAAGCAGTAAGTCTGCTTTGAGCTTTGTCTGCAGCCCAATTAGCTTTTTCTTATTGCTTCATAAATAAATCTCGAAAAATCCCGTCTAGCTCTTGAGTTCTTGTTGATAACCTTAGAGGGTACCCTCGTATTGATCTCGAAGTATTTAAACATGTGCAGTAAGGGGTTAAATCAGCCGGAATAAAGCCAGACTCTGCATGGCGACTTTGGTTCTTCTTCAACTACACCCCAGCTAGCCAAACAGCCCAGCTAGCTGGAAAATATTTTTTAGATTTTTTGTGCATTTTTCGTGATGGTATCCCACAGTGATGGTGTTATCTTCCATAATTCTCATCCAATTCTCAAGCGGAGTACCTTAAACGATTTCTGGATCGATTCTCCACCATTCTGCATCAAAATCCTGAGGCAAAATATTTTTTAGATTTTTTGTCCGTTTTTCGTGATGGGATCCCTGGATAATGGGGTTTTCCCCTATAGGGGCCACAGTGATGGCTATATCTTCCCCAATTTTCATCCGATTCTCAAGCGGAGTACCTTAAACGATTTCTGGTTTGATTCTGCACCGATCTGCATCAAAATCCTGAGACAAAATATTTTTTAGATTTCTTGTCCGTTTTTCGTGATGGGATCCCTTGAAAATGGGGTTTTGCCCTATACGGCCCACATTGATGGCTATATCTTCCATAATTCTTATCCAATTCTCAAGCGGAGTATCTTAAACGGTTTCGATTCTCCACCATTCTGCATCAAAATCCTGAGGCAAAATATTTTTTAGATTTTTTGTCCGTTTTTCGTGATGGGATCCCTTGAAAATGGGGTTTTTCCTATAGGGGCCATTTGAGACCATTTGGGACTTCCTTCCCCATTTGGGACTTCCTTCCTTGAGTCTGCAACACATGGATGTCTCCTTCCTCTGGGGACATAATAATTTAACTTATCTGACAAGTGGTAATGTATACTGGAGGTTATGGGTCATCTTCATGGGTCAGGTGGAGCTTAATACCCTCGGGATTTAAGGATCTAGTCTGGAGTGGGGTACAACATATATAATGCTTTCCAGTACAGCGATGGAAAGACCTACTCCTTTTCCTACGAGAAACAAGAAAGAGAAACTCCTACTCCTAAGGTATTAGGGTACTGGCAGTTCATCGACGACCGAATGAGAGTGGCCCATTCAAACGGAAATGGATGCAATGCCTCCAGGAGGTAGATGAGGTGAAGCGGTAGTGAGGGATTACTTGAAGCAATATCAATTTAATAAATATTTAAAACAAAATATAAAGTACATGTTTTCTAGTAACCGCTCTGTTTGTAGCCTCCGGACGACGAGGATGCTCCGTAATATTCCTTCGACTTGTGGGGATAAGAGACAGTTGCCTTAGGAGAGACCACTGGCGGAGAGTAGTATGCAGGAGCAGGCTGCGGTGGCGGATAATAACTAATGGGGGGATGCACTGGTTGCGGTGGAGGATAGTAGCCAAAGCTCACTGCTGGTGTTCCATGCTGATAGCCATAAGCGCCTCCATAGTGGTAATCATAGCCGTGTTCGAACGCCTCTTGAATAAGTGGTCCCGGTCCTGGGTGCGGATAGCCTCCTGAATAATAATGAAATAGAGAGTCAGTCAAAGAATCCAAAGAATCCTTTGCAAAACTTACCAAAGGTGGGTCGACCGTGAACCAAGCTGGCCAGGATTGGCAATAGTATCAAAGCTAGCAACTGCATCTTGTGGGTGCAAAAAAGTAGTGCAATCTAGTTGACATCCTCGTACAGCTTTTATAGGCTGCTGATAAGAAATATGAATGAAATCGAGTAGAAGAACCTTGGCGTCTGAAATCAAATGCTATATTTTTGTATTATGAATACATAGTACCTCATATTCCATATTGCTAGTATGTATGTTTAACGGGTAAACAAGGTTGTCAGACTAATATTTCATTCTATAATTTGTAAATTATAATTTTAAGTCTAAAAATATAAAAATATTTACAAATCAAAAAGTGTGCAGACCTAGTATGTTTTGGGAATTCCCCAAATACTTTCGGACCTTTCAGTATAATCATTTTTTTTTACAAAAAATACAATAGTCTTGTTGGGTTTTGTATTGCGTCAACCATCTCTTAGGTTTTCTACACTAAGAACATAAATTAATACATGCTTAGTACAATAGTTTAAGCCAAGAACAGAAATAGTTGGCAGTGAACTATAATAATTAAAAGAAAAATTCTTAGTTCCATGGTTATTATTAGTAACCATTATTATTATTTTTTTTTAAGTGCAAAAACTCTCACACGTTTCAGAGATCATTCAATTGGCGTTAGACGTGCCTCTTATCTGGTCACTGAGACCCCGCTGATAACCCCCCTCCCAGTGGCCACTCATCATGGCTCTCATCTCATCCCATCGTCGAATCAAAATTTCGCCTCTAGCGGATTAAAGGTTTAGTCTTAGTTGCGACACCATGGCCAGCAGGAGGGGAATCACAGCCGTTCTAGGCCTATTCATCTTGGTAGTTTTCTGTGAAGCCACTCAGCTTAGCCGCGACGAGAGCCGGGAGGACCAAAGAACAGAGTTCAACCTGGCGTCCACCCTAACAGGAGGCATCTCCAGCAGTCGCCACCGCCAGGGTGCCCTTCTTAATACCAATGTCTACCCGCCCTTGGGCCTGGTGGGCGCTGGAGGAGGTTATACCGGAGCAGCGGGATCTGTTGGATCATCTGGAGGCATTGATGCAGCTCACGGCCATGAAAATGGAGGATCTGGAGTGAGATTGGCCAGTACGAACAATGTCGTTTTTCCCGGCGCCCAGTCACCGAATCCTGGTGTAACCATTGCAGGAGGACAACCGGTTCCGGCATATCCACCACCCGGATTTCCAGGACAACAGGCTCCAGTTCCCTATCCATCAGCACCTGCATATCCTGCAGGAGGAGCTTCCTACCCAGGTGATGATTTCAATTAAGAGATATTATGGTCGCCTTATTTTGATGATCTTTGAAGGTGTCCCCGGCGGATATCCTGCAACAGGTGTCCCTACGGGCTATCCGGCCATGGGTGCTCCTCAACCTCCAGTTCAATTACCTGGCAGTGCCCCAGCCCAACCTGGAGTGGCTGTAGGCTACTATCCCGGTTATCCCTATCCAGGAACATACTTGCCACAATATCCCGCTTATCCGCAGCCAGCTCAGTTACCCGCCTATGGCGTGGCTCCAGGAGCAGCGGTCTATCCTCCAGCCACAAGCACCCAGAATGTGCATCGGTATCCCGATCATAACCCACAGGATCCCAGTCACTGGGATCACCACTTCTCCATGAACACCGAGTACAAGGAAGATGGAGTTCACAAGGGAGCCTTCGGAGTCCTTAACAACCACAATGCCTTCGGTTATGGCAGCGGCTATGGGGGCGGCTATAATGGAGCCTTTAACTCGCCGGCTATCTAAGAACCTGAACGCTGTCACGGGAGGATTAAACGGAGAAGGAGGAGTGAGGTCTGTCATCCGAGTCGTAGTCATAAGTTGGCTGCTCCCCCTTTTTGTTAGCCGAGGGGCAGCTGCCGTATCTTTAATAAGAAATAAACTCGATTTCTGCACACCCAACCGAGGTAATTAGTTGCCAGTGACCGACAGACCGGCCGACGGACCGACCATGCCAGCGAGCGAGTGAGCGACCAGTTGCACCTTGAGGAGGACACCCAGGGATCCGTCCGCCTGAACCGGAAAAAGAAGGCAACATGCATTCCGCCACTCTCATGCAGACAGATAACCTTACGCACACATCCTCTTCACCGCTAAAGGAGCTACCTGGCTGGCAGGCAGTCGGCACAAAACAGAACCCAAAAAAGGAGCACACAAAGGCAGGACTCTGGACGGACGGACGACAACTACAAGGCAGTGGTGATGGTAGTGGTAGTGGTAGGAAATCAGTGTCATGGGGAGACTGAGACCGATTCAAAGTCGGTGGTGCATTTGCCTCAAAGGGCGAAAGAAATGGAAATGGAAAGGGGAGGACGATGTCTTGATGTCTTGCGGCGCATGCGCAGCCTGCCGCGCAAATCCTTAACAAATTTTTGGCGCTAAAATGACAGACGGGCGCGCCAAAAGCGGAGGACTCCGTCCTCTAGGTATACCTACACACAATACCACTTATACTAGCGGAGATTTTGTATGATTTTGGGTGGAAAATATTGGAGGATTTTACCTGTAGCTGATCGAACCAATTCCGGACAGGGTTTGATGTCCTTTAGGCCTTTAGATCTCAGCTGTTTGATGATGAGCGTGGAAAGTACAAAAAACAGCTGACAAAAAGATTCAAAGGACAATGCATTCTTCACTCACCCTACTGGGATTCTGGAGATTTTCTTAATATTATAAGAAGTTCCCTCTAACCTTTGACCTCTAACACAGTTTAGTTCTTTTTTCTATAGGAAGATTAAAAGAAAATAGAAATATTTTAAAGATGAAGAATTTTTGTTTTAGGCAGTCTTTAAATCCAAAATTTCTATATAGGGTCAAGAAGGTCTATATCAAATAGACCTAAAATTTAAGCCTAAAATTTATAAAAATTCTAATATTATTTTTGAACGGGCATTTAAAAATGTTTATTGGTTTCTCTGGGCAAATGCGATACATACATAACATGGCGTACATACATACATAACTAGTTACTGGAACAATGCAACGTTATCAACTTTCATGGTGAGAATGAGGTGGATTTGGGAGTTTAGGAAAGGTGCGGTCGTGGTGGTAGAACGACTTTCCGAGGGGGTGGAGCGGCGCGGGGATGGCGGGGAACAGATGGGAAGGGCAGGGATCCATGAGTGGCTTAACAAACAAACAGCATTAACAACGAGTACAGCAGGGCAGGGCAACAGATGCAGATGCAGTGGCACATACACAGGACGAGGGTTGATCGAGGCGGCGCTTTTCCAGGTTGTACAGAACGCACGTGCCTCCGCTAGTCGGTCGGTTGGTCGGTCGCTGGTATCGGTATCCTTGCAGTGAGCGTTCATGCACATCCGTGTAGAATAAATTAGTTGGCGATCCATGTCTGCTTTAGTGGCTTATGTGTTAGGTTTATTAAGTAAATGCTGGAATCTCTTACAGCTAGCGTACATTTTAATTAATATAAATCGCGGCCAGATTGTTGTAGATTCGAATGGTAATTAATTAGTTTAAGTGTCCCTGCTTAATTTTAGGTGTCTCATGTTTTGGGTTGTGGAATAGGTGTGAAATCTAAACAAAAACGTAAAAAAACGTGAGAAACATAAATGAACCTTATAACATATAATATTTATCCAAAAACATGTTGATAATGCAAAGGTCACAATAATAATAAATATAAAATAATTGTGAGGACTACGGGGGGGGACTAGGAAACTAAGATCAGGGCTAATTTTGAAATTCGGTTGGGCAAATTTTGTGGGGGGTCCGTTATATAAATGAGGCAGGATGAAGGGTCTTCTTTTTTTTTTTTGGAATTTTTTTGTTTTTGTGTTTTGTTAAAATCTGGGTAGTTGGAGCGCCTTAGCCTAACAGAAGCGTATCATTTTTGCTTTCGTATTGAATTTGGCTAATAGTTTGGGATACTGTCCTACGACAAATTGCTTTCGTTCAGATCCAGGTTGTTCTGGAAGAGCTCCTGGTTGGTCAGCAGCGGCACCTTGGCCACCTCGTGGAAAATCTTGTGCGAATACTTGTTACGTATCGTCTTGATGGCTCCTCGCGGCTTGCGGTGCAAGCCCGCATTCAGCACCGGCACGATCTCGGCAAACTCCGCCAGCTGGTATCCGGTGTAGTAGATCAGAGTGGAGCTCCAGGTCTGCTTGTCTAGTTGCCCCGATCCACCGTGCATGCGCAGGGCCATATATAGAGCGGCAGAAGCCATCTGAGAGTCGCTGAACGAGATGGTGGCATAATCCATAAGTGATAGCTCCAGAATGTATCGAGCCAGTGTCAGCGTCGGCATTGGCACCTTGGCGCATCGGGCATAGCGGCGCAGGAAGCGGTAGGAGAGCGGGATGCCCAGATCGAAGTTAATGACGCGGAGCGCCTCACGCTCCATACCCACCAGCTCGTCGTGGTTGTAAGCGCCGTCGCAGATGTACAGGAAGTCGTCGATCAGAGGTGGCTGGCGCTCGTCATACTTGCAGGCGATGAAGAAGGCGGCGGCTCCCAGCAGCTGCAGCTTCTCCTTGGCAATCACCTCGCGGTTGAGATACAAGTCCACGATCTTAACAGCCAGGTATAAAGTTTCGTGGTTCAACTCGAACGTCTCCTGGACCTCGACCATCCAGTCAACCAACAGGGTTCGCATCCAAGTCGTCAGGTGCTTTTGTCGCTGCATATAGTCGCCGATGGGGAATTCCGGTTCTCGCGATTTCAGATAATTAAAGATATCCATTGCGTAGTGCGAAACCTGGAAGGGATCGTCCCAGTTTTTGCGATCAAAGTCCTCGACGTCCAATGGCACTGGCTTGATTGGCACCACCTGGCTAGCATCCACTGTGGGCAGAATGAATGGATGCTGATCAGTCTTTTGCTGTAACTTGGCGGAACGCCGGCGAACGGCCTCAAAGTTGGCCGATAAACGCATGGAATCGCAGCCAGACACATCCTCAAGGGCGGAGACGTACAGGCTGTCATCAGTCTTGTTAAAGTCATTGGAGATGCGGCGCACTGGCTTGATGGCAGCCACCGGGGGAGCGGCCAAATTCTGCATAGGGGGCATCAGTACAGGAATCTGCATCATGGGCGGATTGGGACGCGATGCTTCGGCAGCCTTCTTCGAGGGAACTGGCTTCGGTCGTGGCTTAGGTCGAGCCATCGCCTCCTCAATCTTATCCAGAACCTTGTGACAGGCCTCTACGGAATCCTCGACTTTGCTGGAGGCGCGCGTCACCATCTTGGACGTGTTGGTGGAGAAAACATTAATGGTCAGGTTGTCCTGGTTCTTAGCATCCAAAAGGGCCTGCAGCTGCTGGGCCGTCGGCTTCTTGGCCGCCGTTTCCTCCTCCTGCTGGCCGGGATGCAGTGTCATGACCTTCACATTGTTTGTAAGATTGCCCAGAGCAGAGCGCTTAATTTTTTCGTTCTTAACGGGGCTGTGATCCGCCTTGCGCTTGCCGCGAGTTTGCATATTCTCCACATTGGGATCGATGTTGCTAGATGTGGCGCGGCGGGTCAGCGCCTTCCTGGTGGCGGCCCCCAAAGCCATGAGAGGATTGGCGGCCTGGTTCTGGAGAAGACCGCTGGAGGCAGCCGCCCGGGTGGTTGCCTTTGTCGGCGCCATTTTTCAAAAACCTTTGTGTGAGTGCGTGCGAGAGCGTTCTCGTCGATAGTGTTGTTGTTGCTGCCGAGCGATGGTCCCCCAGTCGTTTTGTTCTTGCTCCTATTTAACGGCGTCGCTTCTCGTCGAGATCCTTTGCGCAGTTTCAGCTTTATCTCGATTCGTACGGAGTGTGCGATCTGCTGTTGTTGGTCGGGCGTAATCACACAAACTCACAAAACGATTCTAAAGTCACGACGCTTGCTCAGTTCCTGATCTCTGTTCTGTTCATAACGGCGTTTTGGCAGATAAAGAATAGAAATCGAAAAACAGCCGCCAGGCAGACGCGACGCTAGAGGTGGGAGTTATCGATGGTGATGGACCATCGTCTGCAGGACCGCCATTATTAGTGTGGTTTGCGCGCCTTGAGCTCCAGTTAAATTTTTAAATTTTACCCGTTTTTAGTGTTTGAAAACCATTTTTAAAATAATTTTCAAGTTTTTATAAAGTATTTTTACAATTTAAAGAGTTTCCACACTTTATGAAACTGCATTATTTTTATTTTAATAAATTGTACATAATGTATAAATGTGTTATTTGGATAATTATATAGACGCGGGATAGGCGTATGTAAATATCGTTGAAGTTTCATCTAATAGGTTCATCTAATAGGGCGTAGTACTCGTGCCGGGCATACTGCGAAGTGACGACTTCAAGGGAACCGCCGAGGCATCGTGTCCCGTGTTACTGCTGCTGCTGTAGTCCTTGCCATAGCCACCTCCTCCTTCTACTCCACCTCCGCCCGAGCTCATTTCCAAGCCCAGGACCATGTCAATGCCTCCGATCGGTTGCTCTTGTTGTTGCTGCTGGTGACTGGTCCAGAAATCGTTGGGCAGCGGCCAGTCCAGGTTGACTTTATCCCGTTGATAGATATAGTTGGAAATGGAGTTTCTGCCGCTGCCACTCGTCTCGTACCTGGGCGTAACACCGCGACCGGATCCGCCGTATTGATGACCCTGCTGGCTGCTGGACGACTGCGAGATTGGGCTGAGCACTCCGTGGCTGTAGCGGGGCGTTTGGGAGGCATGCGGTGTGTAGGGTGTCGGGAACGGCGTATAGGGCGTCATGAACGGCGTGTAGGGCGTCATGAACGGCGTCTGGCCGCTGGGCGTGTACGGGGTGGTGTTGGTGTTGCCCCCGTACCAGGGCGTGGAGGAGCCGCCGTAATAAGCTGCCGTTGCAGCAGCAGATCCAATGGGCGACGAGCCATACCCAACGGTGGTCCGAGCTTTGGTGTAGCCGCTAGAGTCGCCACCGCCGGAACTACTAATACTGCCTGTTATGCTGTATGGGGCCTTGGAACCGGAAACTGAACCAGGTGGGCGCATGCTATGACTATTCTTATACGGTGTCGAGCTGGAATCACTGAGAGAGTTCATGGCTGGGGAGGCCGTCGGGTCCTGCCAGTGCTCCTTAAACCAGCACACCAAGCTGTTGACCGAGTGGAAGACCTGGCTTCGGAACCGATATCCCTCCGGCGTCACAGTCACGTACTCGTGCATCACGTTCGTTTTGGGGATGTAGGAGAGCAGGAACTGGCCAGGAATGTTGCGCGAGGCGGTGAAGAAGTAATGGATTTTCATCGGATCCCGTTTCTGCTCATTGAGCAGGATTCGCTCCATAAAATTATATTCATTTCCATTCACGGGGGTCGTGTTGGGCTTGTAGTACTTGTACTGGATCAGCTCCCGGGCGGCCAGGGCCATGGGGGTGATGTAACGGGCAATGATTTCGTCCAGATCCTCAAACTGCTCGGTGCCGATCCACAGACTCCGGCCCAGGCTATACTCGTTCTCCTTGTTCTCTTCGCGCACATCGATATGTTGGAAGATGTCGTCGGCCACCTTCCACGTGGCCGTCAGATGGTCCGTGGCCTTGCTGCTGGGCCGCAGTGCCACCTCACCCTGTTCGGCCTGCGCCAGCATGGCCACCACCTCGGCATACGTCTTGTTGAAAAAGCTGGGATGCGCTATTACCCGACGGGCGTATGTCTTGGACTTCAGCGCCTTAGTCTTGGCATCGATGGCCTTCTGGTTGTCCTGCTCCTCCGTGACGAAGTCGTAGAAGGCGTCCCGTCTCGGCCGCCACTCGTTGTTCACGTCGTTGAGGTCCGCCGTCTTTGCGGAGCAGTTTACCGAGAACCGTTCAATGTCTATTCTGATGATTCGCACATGGATAGCCTGGGAGACGCGGACATGATCCTCGGGATTGCGCACCTGCCTGTCGCACAGATTCCTGATGTGAATAAAGCCTGGCAGACCGTTCTCCAGTCGCACTCTCACACCAAACGCCTGGCCGAGACATTTATTGGAATCGAAATGAATCCACACCTCGGACAGTTCAGGGAAGTCAGCCTTGCGACAGAAGGGACACTGCCACTTGCCGCTCGCCTCGATACGCACCGGATTGGCGTTGTCGAGCTGCTCGCCCTGGGGCCGACGGTACGTAAAGCCCGTCACCATGGCCGTGACACACTTGCCCACGTAGAACGAATTCGGGGTCTCTTTGGTCAGCATGTCGAAGAGCTCTTCGGCCCTGGGCTTGGTGTACGGCGTCCGATGGTCCTTGTACATACAAGATAGCTCGTCACGTATGTTGTACAGGGTTATGTTTTTGCTGCCGAATCCTTGACGCTCCAGATCCTTGGCAAATGTGTCCAGATCGAGATCCTTGAGGCGTTCCGGAGACTCGAGAATCTCATCGAGTGCACTGGCCGAATTCATATCGTCGTCGGCATCCACGGCATCGCTGGCCATTTTGCGGGCCCACTCGTACGTCTCGGGATGGACACGCGATCCGTCCAGCACCTCCACATATGACTCTGTGCTGTAGCCCATCGACGCGGTATCGATCTTGATGAAGCCGCTACAATTTATAAAAATCGTTGGTCCCAAATGGCAGGAAGTGACCAGTTGGTTGCGGTTCTCCAGGCGCTGGGTGCTCAGCTTGAGCATCCTCAGTATCGACTGGCCCTTGCGCGGTCCAAGTCCACAAATGTACTGCAGCAGGTTAAGCGTCCGGGGACTCTGAACCATCAGATTGATGTCTACGCCCACCTCGTTGGTCCGGTTGATGAACTCCAGGCTGAGCTTCTCGAGCAGCTGTTCGCGGGGCACTCGCTCCTGCAACGGATGGTAACGCAAGCAGAGGATATCGTCGTCGGCATTGCACAGCTGGGAGTACTCCACCAATGGATCATGCATCTTGCGGGCCAGTGATATGGCCTGCTTCAGCATAGCGGGATACTCCTTGAAGTCCGACTCGCCCTTCTTGGAATTGGCATAAATCTTGGCGAGCTGGTTGTCGATTAGCTCCACTTCGATGGGTGGAAACTCTTCCGAGGTCTCCAGCTCCTTGAGGATCTCTCTTATGTCCGTCTGAATGGCCAGAGCATCCCGGCTCTCCGCACCAATCACCACCACATGCGGCTTCTTCATTTTAATGAAATCTCTCAGCTTTCGAAGATCGTTCAGCTTTTGTGACTTCTCCTCCGCATTGTACGAGTACTTGCGCTTGAGGATGTGGGGCAGCCGGAGATAGTCGGATATGTCACCCTCCACCGTGGTGACGGCGCAGAAAGCTGCCACCGACAGGTCCGTGTCGTAGGCCAGGGACAGTACCCGGATGCCAAGCAACGAGCCCCACTCCTCGTAGCTGTAGTCGGACGGAATTTCCGGCTTGTAGGGCGCCACCTGGAGCCACTTGTAGAGCTTGGCGGTGCAGCAACGCAACACAAACTGTTGCGCCTCCTCGTGCAGGGTGGCACGAAGCTCCTTGATCAGATCGGGTATGACCCACTTCTTCAGCGCCAGATTGACGCACTCGGCGCGCAGGGCATTCCATTCGAGGACATGCTTGGAGAACTGATCGAGGTGGTAGAGGGTCATGGCCTCCTCAACATAATCACCGGGCGAGCCGTTGGCAGTTACATTGCCCTCGAACTCCTCCAAGAAGGTAATCTCCAGCAGTTTCTCCTCCTCGGCCATCAGCAGTTTGATGAACTGGTCACCGAAAAGATTACTCACCGGCTTCTTGGCCACATACTTCATGGGGTATACCGGGGAGGTCTCGTCGATAAGTGCTTTGCCGTTTTTTGTCGGTCGGATGTTGATGCGCGCCCGATCGAAGTACACCTCGCGCACCGTTTTCCGCAGCAACGGCTCCAGGGCCAGCTGCCGGGCGACAACATACTTGACGCCATGCAGGACATCGTCCACGGTCCTGAATCGCGGCGATAGATAATTCTTGGCCAACTCCGTGGGACTGAGGCTCACCTGGGTGACTTCGTTGCGCTGGTAGTTGTCGCGCAGGTTCTCCGCAAACTGTTCCGGCGTGAGACCAAAATGCTTGGCAAATCCACAGAATCCCGCCTTTCGGAAAACCGTGTACTGACTGTTGTTGTGCGCCGGTTTTAGTTGTTCGTCGACCGGCGTCGGATCAGCGCCCTCTTTGGGATCCTGGATCGTGACCGCAGCTCCATCCGCACCCTCGGCTCCGTTCTCCGCGGAAGCAGCCTGGCGGAGGGCCATGGCCTCGCTCCGCTCCTGCAACAGCTTGCGTCGCTGCTCGGCCTGCATGAGGGGCAGCTCATGGGAATAGTTCAGAAGGAAGTAAATGTGGACGTCCTTCAACTCCTCCATCGACTGCACTTCGGCCAGGCGCTCAAAATCGCTGTCCTGAATCAGTCGGATGTCGTCCGGCAGCGGCTTCTCCAGATCGGCGCAGAGGGTGTCCAACTGAAACGTGCGCATCTTTTCGAAGAGAGCCTTTAGCTTTCGCTTCCGTTCGATGAGCTGACACCAGCGTCCGTCAAAATGATACACTTGCCACAGGTCGTCGATGTTCAGCTCCGGCTTCACGTACTCCTTTCGGTAGAAGGCGATAAAGGGAACCTCCATATGCTGGTTCCGGATAAAGTCCAGGGTCTGTTTAATCTTGCTTATAGCTGACTCGGGCATCCGCAAATTCTTTCTATTGCCGCCCTTCACCTGCTCGGAAACGGTCTTCTTGCAGAAGGCGAATCGATAGATCCACTCAGCCTCTTCGTCCAGCTCAAGGGATCCCTCCGGTACCGGGGTCACCGGCACCTCACGAAGTTGCATACGCTCGGGTATGTCCGTATTACGGATTGTATCGTCCACGTCGGTGAAGTAGCCACGCCTCAATTCGGCCGGCTCATAAATGTCAAATATCGTCTTTGTGGGCCCTTTCTTCTTATGGCCCTTTTTCTTGACCCGTCCTTCACCCCCATCGACAAACTCATCGTCGTAGTCGTAGCCATCAGAGTCATCCTCGTACTTGGAGAACTCATCGTAATCGAAGTCGACACCAAAAATATCCTGACCCTCTTGGAGGCACGCATCTGAAAAGATGGAAGGCCGCTTCTTTTTCCTTTCGGTTATTGGCTGATCGTTGTCGTCTACGATAAAGTCATCCGGATCCGATTCGTAATCCCCTTCATCGGAGTCTTCATCCACCTCATCGACCCCATCGAATTCGTCCACGAGTTCCTCCTCGCCGTCGCTATCGTTGTCCTGGCGCAGCAGACGTTTAAATCGTTTCTTTCGATTGACTTTCACGCCCAAGTTTTCCTCAATCAAATCGAAATCATCGTCTTCCAGCCGATTCTCTTCCCTTTTCCGCTTTTTGCCGTCCCTGCCGTCGTCGTCGTCACTCCCATCGTCTTCCTCGATGGGATCGTCGTCGATCAGATCCTTCAGCTCCTCCCGCAGTCGCTCGTCGTCGTCTTCCTCCTCCTCGCTACTGTCCCCTCCGGCGGCTTTCAGCTGCTTTAGTTTCTTGCGCTCGTGCACGCTCAACTCCTCCTCGTCTTCTGATTCCTCGGCCTCGTTGTTCAGAAATTGGGACATATTAATAAATTAAATAATTATATTATATGCTCGAAAAACGAATTTAATTAAATTCAATGCAGAATAAACGTCTTTTCACGTCGGAGTCCCAATTAAACTGAGCTAAAAAGTCAAAGCCCCCGGGGCCCAAACCTACTTCGCCTACTTCGTTTTTTTATTTTAATTTTGAATTTTGGGTGTAAGTTTGACAACTTATTAAATGAAAATGAAAAATATTTTTCCGACTTCTTTGGTTTTCCGATAAATTTTCTTTGGCGCCCGCAACCTATAAACTTTATTTAGGTCCTAATAGTTTCATACATATGTATGGCCCTCAACGATGTCTATATCTTTTTTAGTTTTTATCCGATCCTTGAAGTGAATTCCATAAAAGTTTTGTGGATTGATTTTCTACTTATCTGCATGAAAAGTCTGGAATACATTTTTTTAAATTTATTTTTTGTCTATTATTCCCATAGACCCCATGGATTTCTCCCCACTTTTGAAAATTGGGACAAACCGTTCTCATGTTTGAGGAAATCAACAAACCGTTCTTATAAGGAAATCAACGATGTTTATATCATATATGTTATATGTATCTATTTTAGTTTTTACCCGATCCAGAGAAAGTAAGAATCTCCTTACAAGAAAATCAAGCTTGACTTAATTCTAAGATGCACAAGTTTTCCAGAACTTTATTTTCCTATTTCAATTTTTTTTTTATAGAGCAAAACCTATACGACACACAACATATTATATAGTTTTTATGTAATATATACATATGTATATAAATAATTCCAATCCTCCGCCTTTAATACCTCTTTTTAATTAATACTGTAGTATTATATTATACTCAAATAATAAAAGCAAAAAATACAATTTGTTTATATTAATTTTATTGAAATTAAAAACCTGAAAAATAAACCTTAAAGCCACTGATGGGCCACTACTTTTTGCTCTTGTCCTTGTCTTTGATCGTATACTTGTCATAGGACTTGGTGGGATCGTAAGGTTCCCAGCGACTGGCAGGGAATATGTGCTTGTTGCGCTCATACCAGGAACGGAGTAGGACCTTACCGGCGTGGGATTCTTCCTTTTCAACCGAAGCATCGCTGATCATGCGCACATCGTCATGGACATCGAACTGAAAGAGGGGACCTGACTTGCCACGCGCCTTTGTGACAATAAAGTCGTAGAATGAATAGTGGTGCGGCAGGATTAGATCCTCTTTGACGTACATCAGCTGGTCGGCCATGACGGTCTTTAGTTCGATGAATTCTTTGCGCAGTAGCTCTAGACACTTTTGAAGGAACTGGTAGATGGAGTTGCCCTTTTTCATGAGCACATTGCGTCGGTGACCAGAGCCGTCCCAGTAGCTGAACGTGATTGAGATGTCCTCGTCCTTTAGCTCCGCCTGCTGCATGACCCATTCCTGGCGAAGTTGCTCTCGCAACCGGTTCTCTTGCTCCTCACGCTCGCGGTCTGGCAAAAAGGAGGTGTCCACGTCCGGGTTTTTGCAGATTTTTTTCTTTTTAAGCGGCACTATGTCGTCTTTCATTTCTGTCCACTTGGGCTTGGGCTTTTCCTCCTTTTCCAGCTCCTTATCGTCGTCATCATCCCCATCCCCATCTTCATCATCCTCCATGTTGAAGGACAAGGCCTGAATTTGTCTTTTTTGCTTGTTCTTCTCCGCCTGAATGGCCTCCAGGGCCCGCTGTTTCTCCCTGTCCTTCTCATCTTTCTTCTGGGCCAGCTTTTTTTCTCGCTCTCGCACTATGTCCTCCTGCTTGGCCTTCATCTCGTCCAGCGTAACCAGACCGATAGTCGAGGACTTGAGCTGCTGCTCCACGGCATCGTAGTGGGTGGCGAACTTGTTCTCAATCTTGTCCAGCTTCAGCTCCTCTTCTATTTTCTTCTTGCGGAACTCAATCTCCTGCTGCTGGATCTCGCGTTTCTTCATCAGTTGGGCGGCGCGGCCCGCCTCACTGGCAGCTCCCTTATAGTGGGCCATCGTAACTAGATTTTTTGTTTATTTATTTAAATTCTGGAAATTCCGGAAGGAGGAATGAAAATGTTGTTTAAACTATTGTCGTTTAAGGTTACCAGGTTGCCAAAGGATTCTTGGCAGTCCTTTCCACCAGACAAACGCCAGGAGAGAAGGGTTGTTGCTTATTTACACCTTATTAATATTTATTTGGCTTTTTTAATTGAAATATATTGCTTTATTTATTTTTGTGGGAGATACAGCTGGGAGATATTTAATAGAGGTGGAGAATAGAAAAATATCGATAGAAGTGTCGATAGGACTAGGAACTATTTATCGAACGACATAGCCTTTTTTCAAATGCCATCTAGCGGGAAATATCTGAACTCATGAGCTTAATTCAAATAAAATTATAATTCTTTATTCAATTTTAAAATAATATATCTTGTTAAATTATAAAAACTACTTGTAGAATAAATGGAATAAAAGTGGGCATACAAAAATAGCTTCCGTACGGTCAAAGTAATGCCATTTGTGAGACACTTACGATTAAATTTTTATAATATTTTTGGAAAATTATAAAATAAAAACAATAACAATTATATTAAACACAAGCTATTAAAAAAAATAGTAATAGTTGAGTAGAAGGCAGCCACGTTTCTAGTCTCTTTGTAACGGTTACTTTCAGTTTTGAAAAAAGCTTTGACTGTTCGTCCTTTAAAGTCCTTCCGGCAAGCTTCCATCTGCGTAGCCAGCCAGTTATTTGTGTTTGGCCCATGCCGTTGGCTGTTTCAGTTACATCGGAACTTTCAAACCCACTGGTTCAACGCGCGCATCCAAATACCGCCACGGAAGTGTTACAAAAAAAGTTTTTGAACCCGAAAACAGCAGTTAAATGGTTCGAGAGAAATGTAAAGTGTTGTTAAGCCAAGGATCAAAGTGTTTGAAGTTTTGGCTGTTAAACGTTAAACAAAATTCTGCTGGCAGGACCTGCAAACGATTCCTAGTGTTTTTCGTGTTTTGCCCAAGAAATGTTGTATCCTGGTATTTGGCAAGGACATTACGGACAAAGAACTGTGCCAACAGTATAATTGGTATTTGGATCTGGATGGTGGGGGGGAATCACCCGAAATGATTCGGAAACGGAAGTGCCAAATAGAAATGACATTTAAGCCAGACGAGCGATTTGGACTCTTCGAGATCTGGTCTGGCTTGGTATTTGGTCATAATGTGCTCCGATTTCTGTGGAGGGTTTCTGCCGTAAGAAGGCGGGATCTCCAGACGACACTTGGCGTCTGCGTTGGCGGTCCCTGCTCTTGACATTGATTATATTCATGAGGCCAAGTCATAAATTCCCCCCACTGTCTGTTTACGAGGATGTCCTCTCCCCGTCATCTACTCCCTGTCGCCCTGCCCTCTTCGAGATGTTGCCAAGTTGGACAGAGTGCCAATAAAATCATTAACTGTTGCAGCGCATTAAATTCACAACCCAGACGCCCCTGTCGTTATTCAGGCAGCAAACATTGTCATAAAACCTCGACTCTCGACCCATTCAACCCGTCTCAATATTTCATCTCTATTCGCTAGCCGGAGGTGTCCTTTGCCATAACAGAACGCCCCCCTCCTAATTGGCGGAGGGGCGTGTGAAAAAACTATTAAAAGGCCGTTGGGCCAAGCATCCTGGGCCATAATTAATGGCGACAATGACTTGATCGGCCGATAATTAATTTATCGCCATTTATATTGCCAAACTCTCACACATGGACACCTCCACACTTGATTACCGGAATGGGGAATCCACGTCGCTCCCACGGGAGCTCATAAATTTCCCAAGGAAATCCAAGAACTTGGAACTCCTCAGCCTGTGGGTAATTGACTTTAATTCAGGGGTCCGAGCGGATGGGGTAAAACTTTTCTGTGGCCAGAAGTCCAGGAAAACTTGTTTCCCGTTGTGTTCTATTGTATTAACTTGGCTTTCAGTTCCGAACACCGCACATGCCACCCGCCTATAGTTTTGGCCGCAAATTGGTTTGCCCATTTTGAATACTCGGCTTTTGGTAAACAAAATAAAATAAGTTTGTAGAGTATAATTTGTTAGGGAAATTATTTCTTCAAGTAACCTATATTTTTCTCTATGTGGAGTGCCAACAGTGCGATGAAAGTTGCCAAGAAACTTTTTTGGCTGCGACAAAGAAATCAATTGAAAATGATTGAAACCTAATTTCCCAAATGGACTGAATACATAAATCAATAAATTAGGCAGTTTTGAAGGTGGGAAGCAGCCCTCATTAGGGAAACTTAATTTACTATTTAAGGGTTATACGAATCGATCCGATGGTTTCCCGACTAATGGAATGCTTTACCTGATTTCATTTGAAAATTCATTTACGTAGCGTGGGTCCTTTGTTTGCACAAGCATTTCATAATAAAATTGCATGAAACTGTCGTTTTTATTGAATTTTTCTCCCACCAAACAACCAGACCACCAGCCAGCCCCACCGCCTACATTTATTTGTGCACACAGTATGCCCCCGTCGGGCATTAAAGTGTGTTCAAATTGTAAATCTCCCCTATGCCATTTTGTATTGATTGATAAAAAACATGAAGCTTTTCGCTCCAGTGGCCCGCAGTGAACTGTTAACAGAGGCGAAACTATGCTGATAGGATGCTTTGTCCTGGCTGTTGGGACACACCCTATTCAGGCTGTGCGACAGCAGGTGTTGGCGGATATTGATGCCATCGCCGCGATTAGGGCATTATTCAGTAGCCCTTTCTCCGGGCAATTAATAGGGTAAGGCGCGGATTTCGGTGTAATCCCCCGGGCAGGGACAGGAATAGGGTTAGGGGACCTTCTCCAGATGCCATCGTAAAACAGACTTTGTTGGCTTTATCCTCGCGCTTTTTGCGCAGATCCTCCGTCCCAGACCTTGCCTTGATTTGCGAAATTGTTTTTCTCGCCAAACTTTTTGTATTGCGCAGGCCATGGCTTGCCGACAAAAAAATTGACACAATTTAAACTTTTCTATAAACAAAAGCAGTGCAGAAAAGGTTAGCCAAACGAGCCATTTGTTCTAGCCGCTGTTTACTTTCTTTTTTTTCGCTTTCTCTTAGCCCTTTCTGCGATTTTTTTGTGTTTGTGTGTGATTTTATTTTTTGGCAATGGCAGTTTATTACAAAACACACACACACAGCCGATTTTCTGTCAAATCTGTCAAAAGGGGTTCCTTTTCGTCTGTTGGTTTCTCAATTCCATTTAAAATGCGAACATTTGAAACAATTTTGAAAACAGCATCCGTACACACATGCATTTTTTACACCAGGCTGCATTCTGCGGCTTTGGCAGAGATTTATGCAAGCTTTTCATAAAGCTGACAACATGACGTATGATTAATATCGCTGCCAGCTCTCAGGACTGTTGTTTTGGTGCATTTAATTAAATTTTACAGAGTTGATTAAGTGCTCATTTCACCAGGCAACAGCCGCGTATAAATAAATAAAAAGTTTTACAAGTACCCGTTTTTAATATCCATATTGGTGTTCCTTGGCAACAGGCTCCAGGCTCTAGACGCTCCACGAATAGGAATAATTTAAATTGCCACTAAAAATATAAACAAGAAGCTCTAAAAATATGCCCGGCAGCAGGAAACGATATAGAGGAGGGGTCGAGGCAATATTACGTATACGACATGCAGTCGATAAATTTGTGCATTCCATGACAATGACGTCGCAGGATGGCTCGGGCCTGGCTCGGGTTGGCTGCTGGTTGACATTTCTTGGCCTTTGTTGTTCTTTCGTTTAAGCCATATGTGCTAAAATGCCAACGTTCATTGCAAAGCAATTAATAAACTTGACTGCAATTGCCCGGCATCTGGGGCACGCTCGTATTACATTATTTATGGCATTTTCAGTAATTTGAGTTGTTTTATTATTATTTCATGTTTTGCGCACGAACAATTTTCATTTTAAAACATAATTAAATCCATTTTTGCCAGGACTCGACCCAGTCATAGCTCTTCTGATTTGTGTAACTTTCGAGTCCTATATTTGACTTTCAATTAATTTTCATGGCCCAGCTGAGCTTTGCAAGTTGACCCGCCAAACCAATTAGAATGACATTCTATTTTACGTTTGTTTTCCGCGGTCCGTTTTAATTCATGTTTTGCTTTTAATTAACGGTGCTAATTAAGGATGCCCGCAAAGTGAAACAATTTCCCGGCGCACTTTTCAAATTTACGCAATATCCGGCTAAGACTGAAACATTGCAAAATGGCAATCCCACCATCTTAGGTTTACCTCCTTGTAATCATTCCGAATGGGATTTCAGCTCCCGCCCCTGTTTCCCTCTGTCAATTAGTATGATATCCTTGGGGCTTATCGCGGTCTTATTACCAATTCGGTTCCTCTGTCTGCCTGCCCCACTTTTATGGTTGATTAATGCCCGAGATGTGCATTGGATTGCGCCAGGAGCAGCAGCAGCAGCTGGAGAGGCAGGATGGCTGGGGAGGAGTTTTAGCCAGTAGAGCAACCAACCTGGCTAAAACAATCGCAAACACAGGGAGCACATTGATTTGTACCACCTGACTGGGGAATGGCCTCGCTCGCCGAGCGGAGACGCATCGTAAATCATGAATGTAAAAGTCGTGCTGGCAGCTATCCCCTACCTACCAACACCGCCCGAAAAAAAAACCATAAAAATATCTGGTCGATATTATTACGTTAGGGCATAAAATATTTATTTCTCAAACGGAGTACTTCTCAATATTCATATGTCTGAATCGTAAAGCAGCCCAAGCTCTCGGATTTAAAAATCTTTTTTAAATCCGTACTTTAGAGAACTTTTTAGATGAAAATAATGGGCATTAGTTCATATCCATAATTTCTTTCTGTGCACCACTTCCCCTAACTTTGAAAACGGCAATCCTGCGATTACCAAACTGCCGGGAGCATTTTTATGGCTTTAGTATATTTTTGGCCAGTCTGTTGGCAAAGTTTTGCCTTCGATCTGTTATTGGTTACAATAGAGCGCTTGGCTTGACTTTGTAGGCAAATTTTCCTATTGCCGAAAGGTGTTTGAAGGCGAATCATAAAAAGTTTTCTCATTCCTTATCCTTGTCCCCTCTGCAACCTGCCCCTCCTAATCATCATCATTATTTTTCTTTCTTTTCATACACGTACTAAAGCGGAAACATTCATTCACGCGAACTAATGAAGTGTCAAAAATGGGCGTCCCCAAAAAGTGTGCTACGCTTTTGCTTTTTAAAAATATTTCTCAGTAGCCATGAGTGTGTGTGTGTATGTGTGCTGTTGTGTGTTGGGTGCGAGGTCATGTGACCTTGGACTATAACTATGAGCGAGTACCGACTAAAATAGCTCCATAATGTCGAGGTGGGGGGACCTCAGATGTGGGTGTTTGTGCGAAAATGTTTGCAGTTGAAAGCGAACACGCCAAACACAATATAGTTGCAACGAGCTGCTTCTGATGTGAATGGTACTTCAAGTCGGTCCAGTTATAGTCCTCTATATATATTGATGTATAAATACATACACGTTCTGGGGCAATTCAATGCCCTTTGGTCTGATCTCGTTCGAACTGACTGCGTCTTCTATAGCTATAGATTACAATTAGTTTCGATTTCATTATTTTTAGTTGTTTCCGAAAATGAAGAGGGCTGGTGGATGGTTGGCTGGTCCCTGGAAAGTCCTTGTGGCTCAAATTGAACGTAATTGTCTTTTCTTCTCTCTCTATTTTCCTATTCCTCTACCACTCTAGTTGTCTTTGATGTATTTTCCTATCGAATATGTTCCCTTTGCCTTGCTTTATTTTATTTTGTGGTTGATTTGTGTATCTATTTGGATTTTGGAATGGTTTTTTGGCTACACAGGGAAATAATACTGTACTATACCTAGTCCC